GCCCGTGCACCGTACCGTTACGATAATGCACAAAACCCCACTAAACATAGTTTCTCTAAACATTATCAAAGCACTGATAAAAAATATATATTTATATAATATTTGTGACATCACATACAACACACCTGTTGTATAAATTTGGTTTTTTAGGCTTCAATTTCGCACTAATCTGTTTACACAGTCACTAACTACCAACCATCTGGATAGTGCTCCTGACTGCTAAGCCAGCGATCGTGGGTTCGATTCTCAATTTATCTAATACATGTATCTATTCAGATATAACTATGTTTATCAGCAGTCTGGTTACCACAGGGTCTGCCTAGTTTGGGATCAGACAGACACAGTGTCTGTATATTATTTGACTCAAAATAAAAGAGATCTTGACAGAGAATTACAATAACAGGTCATTTTAAATAGGAAAAAGTTTTTAATCTATGTATATTTATACATTTTGAGGCATATCGATAAATTTTTAATAACAACATTCTTAGCAAACAATACAGAAATAATTATAGATTAAGGTATTGTTTCTATGCAACCATTATCTTGATTTTACAACATTATCATAAATAAATATCAGCAAATCCTGCTTTTTGAAGACTAGAATAATTTTAGAACTTTTTGTCCTTACAGTTGTAACTAGACGGCCGTGTTTATTCACCAATCTTTGTCCTTCATATTATTTCACATAGCTTTCTCTCTCTCTATCATTATATGAGTGCAAATTAACGTAACGTTCTTGATTTATCATTTCTTTATCAATCATTATCGTTTCAACACGAATTATATAAATAAAACTCTAAACTAACTGTCACACTACGCAATATACATCGTAGGTCAAGAAGAGCGTGATAAAATTATTAAACAACTCATTATAAGTCACGTTTTAACAGAAAAAACATTCAAATGAACAATCATATCATGGTGTAGTCTGACCAGTGCTATTCTATAAGGAAACAGAAAACAGGCTTAGTTTGAAATTCGACGCTGTGATACGCTGTAGCGTCGAATTTTAAACGAACTTAGATTGAAGTTCGACGCTGTGGCCGCTGGGAGGGTTTCGGATGTCTTAATGATAGCGGTTCAGGGATCTCTCCTATAACAGGCGCAGAGTGGCACACCGTGTGGTTTTAGTCGGTCCGATTCCGACACACCACCCCGCCGCATACCCCGGCGGGGTGACGGCCCAAGGGGGTTTCAACAAGGCTGTACAAGTACAAGTACCTTAGAGAATAGCACTGCTGATATGTGACTAATCAGACTTTTGGCGAACAGAGAAACACGTGACCGTGGGACAGTGCTTCGTCATTTAGGAGCCGGCTCGACCGGAGTGATACCACGGCTTCACAGAAAAGCGGTGTTAAACTATTCTTTTGTGCTTTTCATCATGGCATTCTGTTGTTTTATTCAATATCGATTATTAAGTCAAAATATTATTTAATGGTAGACCCCGATATAGAGGCAACTACTTTTTATTATATCCATTGTGTCTTAACATCGATAAGGTAGCATAACTTAGAGTTGTATAACACCAATGTAACAGTTTCAAACGAAAAATCCGCTTTCGTAAGTCAAGCTAACTTTGTTTAGTTTCCATTGCTACTAAATCTCAATAAATTCAACAACCGTAGCTGACAATCACAGCAATGTATAGCAAACAGTGGTTCCTGTTCATCCAATCTGGTACTTCAAACTACGTGGAGTGGATTTTCATAGTTCACAGACGAGAGTGAAACACCTGTTGAGCGGCCGTGACGAGGAAGGGTGACCCACCCCAAACCCCAGACTATTGTTATAATCACTCTGGAAAACATACACTAATTATTTAGTTCAATATTGTGGAATATAACGATTAACTGGATTTAATGGCTTCATTAGAACAGTAAATCAAGCAATTGGATTAAATAAAGCGAGCTTTTAATTAACATGTCAATTGAGTAAACTGTATAACTGATAAAAATAGTTACAATAGCTTATGAGATCCTGAATTCGATTCAAGGGTATAAGTACTACAGACAACACATTTTAATTTTTGATACAATAACATAAATATAAATAACATAACTATCCGTGTGGTGACGGATTAAGAATACCGAGTGTCACCACCCCTATTCATCCCGTGGGTGTCGTAAGAGCCGACTAAGGGCAAGCTTTGCAGGACAACAGCACTGCAAAAAGAAGGAAAACTTGAAACAAACCCTATACCAACCCGTCTGGCCAGCGTGGTATAGTAGGGCAAAACCTCCTTCCTTAGGCGAGGCTTATATCCAGCTAAAGGCTGTTGATGTGATGATGATGATGAAATAACATAAAGTCACAATAACATAAAGTCTAGTGGTCAGTGACCCTGACTGCTAAACCGGAGGTCGTGGGTTCGATTCCCACCCAGGACAAATATTGTGAGATGAGCACGGTCATTTGTTCTGTGTCTGGGTGTAATTTATCTATAATATGTATCTATTTAAAAATATATATGTACTTTTTTACCACGCTTTTTACCATAAAATGATTTTTCTTTTTGAACTATAATTTATTTTTCCTTTTTTGGTCATTAATGGTGATTATTGTTTTATTAAGACAAAAAGTAATAAGTAAGTCTATCACATATGTTTTAAAGTACGTGGTAAAAGAAACCACTGTATTTTAGGTATGGAAAAGGCTTTAATCCTGAAGGTCTTGATCAGGATAATTAGACAAAGTACTTAAATTATTGCATTGTCATCGGTCCTTGATATGTGTGCAAAGTTCCAATTTCAAAATCACGTAGATTCCCTAACATACATAGATACCAAGCAAATGTCAAGCTTAATAAAAAAAAACTTCAAATTGGCTAAAAGAATTCCTTAAAAACTGACATCTCCTGTATTTTAATAGTCTGTCAAGATTGTCACGTCAAATCAGTGTCTTTTTATTGAACGTCGCGGGTACATTTATTGATAACACTAAGACATGACGTCATACCTAGCCATTGTCAAATCACTTTTAATATTAATTTGAAGGACCAAACAATTAAATTCATAATGAATTGAAACAAAAGTATCCACGAGTATTTAATAAAATGTAAAACGACCATGAACTAGAAACACACAATTCTACCATTCTCAAGTTAAATCCGTAGAAATGCAGTGTTCAAAAGTTTTCTATTTACACGAGTCTACAATATAAAAAGTCTTTGAAACTTTATCAAAGTCATAAAGTCTATACAAATAATAAAATGAGAAAATAAAACTTAAAGGTTTTTTTCTTAAGAATCAACGGAAGCCGTGGAAGTGTAGATTCTGAATGACCTTTAACAGGTCACATGCGTTTTGGGCTGACTGGACATCGATGTACCTATTAGCTTTTTCAACGGTTTCCGTCGCCTTTAAGTAAATTTGTCAATATTTTGGCGGGATAAAAAGTAGCCTATGTGCTATTCACGACTGTAAGCTATCCGTATGCCAAATCTTATTTATATCCGTTCAGCCGTTTTCAAGTGATTGAAGAATGAATAACGTATGTTTCGTCTGCTCCTTTATTGGGAAATAAACACACCAACTAAAATTTGCATTATAACTAAAGTTAACATAGATTTTGATATTTTGCGCAACCAAACACAAGATTTTTTTAAACCCAAAAATTAGAAAAAAGGATAAAGTCAGAACAATGAAACTTCTAATAATATTACTATATTAATAAGAGTCTACGTAAAATACCATTTCAATAATTCCACGATTTCATAATTTTATGAAATAGAAATATTGTAAATTTGAACTTGAATACAAACGCTTAAAAAATAATGAACAGTATTTCTTTTTATTTTTTTATTTTTTTTAACATTTTAGACACAAAATATTATTATGATTATTTCTGCCTCTATATTCATAGACAATTTAATGGTTTTATAGTTTTTCGGTATATGAAAAAGGGCGCCCATAGAGATGCATGGCCCCAGACATGTCCCCGTGGCAATAGAGTAATTATGTCCCTGTATTGGCGTCTAACTGACCACAGATAAAACTATGTCTTGTATATTTTATATTTGTAAGGAAACTTTGTAAATAATAATGAATAGTGATTACAAAATAGGTCGAAAGGAGATAAAAAAATCTCGTTAACATACTCATGTCATAGATTGTTTATTGTTGTGTTGTGTGTCCCATATTTCTGTGTTCTTAGTGCCTATTGTCACGATAAAAATATAAATTATGGAGCAGATTAAAAATTGACATTATTTTAAATAGTTATAAATGTACACACAAGTTTATTCACCACAAACAATTAACTTACATAATTAGGGCTAAACTATACGGAAATAACTTATTAAGAACTTATTAATTATATTAAAAATGTGAAACCGACTTCAAATCTTCAAGAAACTCTTTTTGAAGTCGGTCGGAGCTTACTCCCGCCTCAAAAGCCGACAACGCCTTTGTGACTTTTAAGTTGCAGGTGTGCATGGAAAACGGTAGTCACTTACCATCAGGTCACGCGTGCACTTGTATGTTTCCTATATTATATAAAAAAATAGTTGAATGCCATGACTTTATGAAATATTTCTTGATTTCTGTAATGACACACCTGGCCATCTAGCGAAAAAAATCTGAACTATTGAGCTAGTATTCATACATCACGCAATCTTTGTCACACTAATTTGTATGCGTACCACCATATGTGTAGACATACAAACAACCACCTAATTTTTCAGAGATTGTAGACTTGTTAACTATTTTATTTTAATAGCCTAATTATTTTAATTTCGTTTTTGGCAAAGCAACTAACTGATTGTTCGGTAAATTTGTATGTGTTGCCAATCTATTCCTATCTACTTAAAATTTGAATTACAAAATATTATGAATTAAAAAAGAGACAATAGTTAAATACGTGACATATAGTGTATGAGTTTTTTTTAATACCCTCTGACAACTTCTCAGAGAGCCTACAAATTAGGTATTAATCTTTTAAGTATTAAACAGTATTTTTTTTCTACAGATCGCCGCAATACACATGAATCCGTAACCATGGGAGACACACAACATTTTTGTCTACGTTGGAACAATTACCAGAGCTCCATCACCAGCGCCTTCGAGAACCTTCGCGATGACGAGGATTTCGTTGACGTCACGCTGGCATGTGACGGGAACAGCCTTAAAGCACACAGGGTTGTGTTATCCGCGTGCAGCCCTTATTTTAGAGAATTGTTGAAGGTAAATGACATGTATTATTAGGTATATCATAGCTAATCAAAAAGAAAACCATAAACACCATAAGAACATTTCTTTTGAATGAAAATAACGAATTTGAGCGTTCTAAATACAAAATTATAGATGATACTTTTCATTTCGTATAAACCAACTATAGCCATTGCGTCACCGTTCATCCTTTTCACCTAAACAATATCAACTTCCCTTAGAATTATTAAACATTTATTATTATCATAAATTATTTTCTTGTATCACGTTAGTAGCCACAAATATTAAATTTAATCAGTCAAATTTAAATTAGGAATTCGGTAACTGTGAACACCAATCCGCAATCAATACGTCATGACTTACAAGCGCCATTTTTTTCGTTGACATTAAGTTACAATCATAGAGAGAACACGGGGGATAGCGGCCTGTAAGTGGAATCGATACAGGCAACGAGAAAGATAAATGCCCGATAGTTCCCTCTGTCTCTATTTAGTTAAGCTGCGATTGGCTATCGTGAATGGGAATGGTATTGGCTTTTGATCGTAGAACAGGCCTGAGATGAGATTTTTTTCTAGCCAACCACAGAGCTCGACTAGAAAGAGATAGAGGGAACTGTCTATTATCCATCTCTCTAGTTGCCTATATTGCAAAATTGGGGCAAAATATTTGTTTTTTATTTATTAAGTTACTTCGCCATAGAATTATATATAATATGTCTATGAACATTATCTTAAAGAGCAAAATTTAGGCAATTTTTCGTATTTCGTTGTTGTTCTAAACATAAACAATAATTTGTTTTATACTTCTTATTTTACAGTGAAGCATTATACATCTCTTGTAATACTAAGAATTTGATAATTCTAGCAATAGGAGCAAATGTCACATATATAATTGTGTAGTGTTTTGTTTAGTTGCCACAGCGCGCCATGGCTTATCACGACACTACGACAGATGGAACCAAATGGTTTTCTACAATGTCGCTATTGATATGCTTTTTTAATTAAATTTTAAAGTAACCAACTAAATTATAATGTCGATTTGGTATATTTTTCCAAAATATATTTTACAAGGCCTCAAACAATAATATTGTTCTTCAAACGTTCATGTCGAGCGCCTTCACTTCATGTCTTTTAAATTGATTTTATTGTTAAAATTTGTACTAAAAGATCTTTCGATTTTAACAGACTTTTTTTAATTTATGGTAAAATTCACTTTATAAATAGTTGAGAAATAGAACAAGGTACCTAAATATTTTTTTCTTTGGACTTTTGACAATTATCTTTATTATTTTGTTTACTTTATTGATCTAAAATTTGCGGTACTAAAAGTTAGGGATATAAATGTCACAATTGTCAATAAACGGAAAACCACTATCTATTGTGGTTTTGAGTGTTGTCTTTTTATATCGATAATTAGCCATATATTTTGGTATTTACTATTAAAAATTTATTGGTATTAAAGAATTTATGAATTTTGCACTTATTATGCTTGGAATTTTATCAAAAGATGTTTAAATATTTCTACAGAAACAGTTTTTTTTTACACACAGTAGTACGGCGGTGCTAATATAAGTCACCATGACAGTTTTAAGCGCTTTCGCGGTATTTTTTTTAACCTCAAATGCAAAATTAATCACCATTGTGTTTTCTTAATTATACGTATTATTTTAATTATATAGATAATTTATAATTTTAGTCTTTATTTGTGATAAATAAAGACTTATTAACATCACATGACCACTCTTAGAAGCGTAAAAGTGTAAATAAATGAAGGTGAAACTGCAGAAGAAAGCTAACCTAAGCGAATTGTGTGCAAAAACCTACGTTAAAGTTAAATTTTCATTGCGATGTTATTATTATCTTTCCAATACAAGAGAATTCGTTTGACGTAAAATATACATTAAATGTTTATAATATTCACAAGTTACGAAACCCAAGATTCATATAATAATCAGCATTTTCTCAGACGTGTCATTGACTGACGGAAATACGTCATTTATTACAATATTATACTCATATTATACTCATACAACACACAGACTATTGCCTTTATTAAAAACTGTTTAAGTATATTATTTTGTGGAAGTCAAATCGTTTATCGTTTTTGATATTACGCGATTTTGGCGAAATAAATAGTAACTTTCGCAACCAATAGATGGCACCACTAAGAAAATAAATAAATGTTGTTTAAACTGAAAATTTATAGATTATTTTAAATGAAAAAAAGTTTTAAAATGCAAAAAGAAATAAAAAGAGGACTGGATCCACTTACGTTAACTTGTCAGGTGTGGGGTTCGAACCCACGCTCCCTCTCGGGAACCAGAGCTTAAATCTGGCGCCTTAGACCACTCGGCCAACCTGACTTGAGTGAATGGTTTCAAATAGTGTAGTATATTATTAAATAAGATATTTGCTTATCTTTTCTCTTTAATTAGTAGTTGTATCGATAACATTATGTAAGAGACTAGCGCGTTTTAATTTACGAAAATAATTATAACTAATATAGGTATTAATACGAGTTTGTTTGTTACGTTTTTACACATTATTTACTCAACCGCACTGCATGAAATTTTGGTTAACCTGTCGACCTAAAGAACCGAAGATGGCTGCCGTTCATCTTTCTTACTTAAACTTAAACACAAGAGAAGTGGCACGCCAAAAATAGTATTCAATACATTAAAGGTAAGTTTTTCATTAAGAGCGTTCTAACTTTTAAAAGCAATGAAGCTAACTCGAACTGATATTGAGTTTTGAAGACCTTCGTAGAAAACATCATAAACCAAAGCGCCTCGGTGGACTGTACCTAGATGACGCATCGACATCTTATCGCACAGATTTTGGGCGACATCTTCGAAGGCTATTATGTCAGTCTTCAAGGCGGTAATTGTCTATGTTTTGTCATACACAAAAAGTTTACACATCTCATGCCAGTTTGGTAGACAATACGAACTTGGTAGGATATTAATAACACTACGCTATCGCAAAGACTTTACACTTCCCATACAAAGAATCAAATGTAAACTAATGTATCTTAAAACTCTGCAAAATCTATATTATTTAATCACGTAATTTGCAAGGATCATAGTTTAGCCATTTCGGTCGAAAATATTTTATAAAAACAACATTTACACAAGAGGATATTATATTTACAATTTTTTTATTTATTGAAGCTAAACTCACACAAAAGTCGATTGAAAGTCACACAGAACATATTACAGTAAAATAATTCAGTGTCCGTAAAAAGGTTCCTATCAGAAAAAAATATTTCGAATCGTAAAAATATGTTGTCGGTGATCGGAATAAATAAAAACTCAATGAGTTTTAAAAAGTCATAGACCAAATTCGTTTTAGTACAAATGCTTTTAAACCATTAAACTAACTTGTATTATTTATCGAATTTATTTATTCGAATTTCAAATATTAGAGTTGTTTTCGAATATCTGTCGTTTAAGTAGCCAGTATTTATTTATATATTTTTTTACGTTATCGCAATGTTTACCTACACACCTGAAAAATAAATAAAGGGAACATCCCGAAATAGCTCCCGAAATACGTGATTACTAATTCATAATTAATTCAAACATTGTGTTAAATTATATCGGATGGCGCAATGATTACTATAGCTAAATATTCAACTTCTTCTTAGTTACCTATTGTTGGGTATAAGCGTATTTGCGAGTACGCTATTTTTGCGATGTCGTCGACCCAACTGCAGAGGGCCAAGTGTGAGTTTATTTCACTTCTACTTGATCGTTACGGTGAACGCGTTCGGCTCTGTGATTGGCCGGCACTGAAATCTGCACCAATCACAACGCCAAACGCGCCCGCTGTCGAGAGCGAGTTGATGTAAAATAAACTCGCACTATTGGGCCTCAGACTGTTTGCCGACTCTTCACGTCTGTCTGTCTGTCAACTTAGTAGTAATTCAATGTTGTGTACGGCTACTAAAAGACATTATTACGAAAGTAATTTATTTATCGTCAAACAATAGAAGTAACAAATATCAACGAGAAAAGCATTCTTCAGTCTTATTAAAACCTCTCGAATGCTTTCCACTGATTTATAAGCCTATTTTTTGACAGAATTCTCCTTGAAAATCTTATCTATTTTAATAGTATTTTATTTGAATGGCGTTTAAGTATGTTATCCTTATTCTGCTCAAAACTTTTCACATTCAAATCTCTTCCAGTCAACCCCTTGCAAACACCCCGTGATCGTGCTCCAAGACGTCGCGTTCACCGACCTTCAAGCACTAGTGGAGTTCATCTACCATGGGGAGGTGAACGTGCATCAGAGAAGTCTTTCCTCCTTCCTCAAGACAGCTGAGGTGCTCCGCGTGTCAGGCCTCACGCACAACGAGAATGCTCAAGGGGTGAGTAGAGCTAAAGACAGTACCAATGTACAGATAGTTATTTTACCATCAGTTAACATTATTTCATGAAAAAATTTTCAGGAATCATTTTCATAGTTTTTTTAAGAATCGATCGAGTCTTTTTACACGCTTTATATTAGCTTCACTTGTATGTTTGTTTGTGTGTTTGTAATCGACTCCTTTGGGCGTGATTTTGACTGATTTTAAACGGTCAGAATTCGTTCAAACTTTGTAGATATATCGAGGACCGATGACAATACACTAATTTTAAAAAAAACGCGCTTTCTATAGAAAACCAAACTAATAAATAGAAAATAAATTTGAAAAAAAGCGTTGGATGCCTGTTGTCAATAGTAAAAAGCACCCCACGTTTGGGTTTCTATAGAAAGCGTGTTTTTTAGTTTTTTTAAACTATTTTTTTTTAATAAGCACATACTACAACGTAGCTACAGTAACACACACATTATTTAATCTAATTATTGAGAATAACCTTTCTCAATAATAAAGATGTTAGCTTATTATCTGGCAACGCAAAACCACAAGGTTACTGATAGTTTTTTTTTGTATATTCTTCAAATACAATTTCAAGGATTTTAGTTAAACACCTGTTTCATTAATAGTATTTGGGCTGCAAATACCTATTGTAAAATCACCTATTTAATATTTATACAAAAAAATATCTAACTAATGTAATTATATATTAACTACTGAATAATGTTGTTACCTTGAGAGATGTTTAAACAAAAAAATAGAATATTGTGGATTATGTACATGGCAACTGTTTATTTAAAAAAGGAATTATGTCTGTCATCTTATTGTCTTTTCATCTATTTGTATTTGACGTCAGCTAATATGCAACATTTCAAAGAGTCTAATCGCTATTAGGTCGTCTCACTTTCTGACACTGCCCTCCTGACCTAAGACAAGAGGTGAGCGAACTAGAGTAATGGGCGCTGCTAGTCTAGGCTTGAAAAAAACACGTCAGCATCATCTACATCAACAACAGCCTCTACTGGATTCTTCCCCTCCTGGATATAGGCCTCTCCGTAAACAGGAGGATTTGGCCTCTTATACCACGCTGGCCAGACGGGTTGGTATAGAGTTTGTTTCAAGTTTTCCTTCTCTTTGCAGTCTATACTCGACTCTTACGACACCCACTCAGATAAGTTTATAGTTAAATATTGCGGTTGCTACATTTCTTACAACAGCATCTCTCCTACAGACGCTGCTACAACCATTCCGGGCGCCATCCACAACCTCGCCGCACACACCACCGCACTCAATCAGCGCGCAGATCCCTCATACACCATCCTACGACCGCCTGGAAGAAGCTCTGCTGCAGCCGTCCCAGAGCGTGCAGATCCCGCGCCGCACACCGCTGCCCCTTCGGAGGCACAGCCGCAGCACGGACAACAGTCCTGACGTCATCAAGCGCCCACGTCATGACAACAACAACGAACAACCGCAAATCCACGCAACGGATTTCTCAACGAACAAGAACCATAACAATTCGCGCTCGCACAACGAGTCGGGAAACAATGGGAACGGCATCTCCAATTGCAGCTCCTCGCCATCGCCGAGGCTCGTAGATGACGTGAAGCACGAGCCCCTGGACATGATATGTCCATCGAACACGGATATAGACAGGAGCACGGATGACACGCCGCCGCATTCACTGCACAGACAACTCGTGAGTTGCTTAAAGATCTATAATTTTAGATGTACCTACTTAATATTTTTAGGATTTCGGCATTCATAAATTCTGCTATAAATTTCTTTAATATTATTCAAAACAACTGATATAAATACATATATCCTTTTTTTTTGTTGTAAATACATACATATTATACATAGAGACACCCAGACCAAATCAAACATCTTACAATTAGCTTACAACTGAGACAACAAAACCTGAAGGTCAATTCTGGTGATGAATAACGTTCAAAACTCAGTTCCGATCAACTCTCGCTCTCACAAATATCATAAAAGATGTTCTCGTAGTGAAGTATTCAACATCCATCCAACGTTGACTGTTATGTGAAAATATCATATTGTGACCCAAAGTTGAATCGATATTCTGCTAGCTATATACGAGAATTACCTTCTGGTGTCTGTATTCTTGAAGATTTTTTAAAGCAAATCATATTCCATAGAATCACGAACTTCCAATAATTTTACTTTATGATACATATTTAATTATCTTTAGACTAAATGTTTAAAGATTCTCCCTTTTATTACTTTATGTATAAGTAATGTTGTTTATATCACAGAACAAATGATACATAAAATAACTGTATCAAAACAAAACAAATATCTAAACTAAGGGCTTTTATCAGTATTTGGGAACATTCACTTTAAAATGAAGCTGACGCACAAATTCTCTTGTCATCAAATGTCTTTGTCATTAAATTTATAACTAAATACTCCAATTTTAGCTTAACTAAGCATTCTCGTGTTACTGTAATAGATTGCTTTATACGTTTTATGAATAAAACAATTATACATTCAATATTTATTGGCTCAAAGTTAGTAAGATAACTCATATTCACACATAATTTTATATAAAACAGATCAAGTTCAGTTTATTTCTCATACATACGTTAGTTTTTGACATAAATCAGTTTTCACTTATCAAACAATAGTTCCCATATAATCTTGTATGAAATAAAAACTTATGACGTAACAATTATAACCTTGTAAAATATTGTATAAGAATTGACTATCTTACTAAAGACAAAAGCTAACTCAATATCGCTCCACGAGTTTAAGAGCTGTGACTGACTCCTCCAGTTTAGTAACTTAACTCCTACTCATTTTCAACGTGTTTAGACTCCATAAGAAGTCAACAATGAAATTAAAAAACAGATAGCCTCTATGCCCAGTACCCAAATAGGCTCTACGCTTAGCCTGCGACGTCAAAAAAAAAAATCTTGTCATTGCCTTAGTAACAGTCTCTGCTTATAATATTATTGACATCCATACTGATTCGCATCCATATAATAGGTATTTGTCGTCTAGTACGCTAGCATTCGTACCCGGAACCAAGTGGAGTGTCAAATGACGTTTAGAGTATCGGGTTCTTTATAACTCGGTGATAAACATTGCTTGGTCTAATGACCTGACGAGATATTAGACTGACAGCCTGGTACTTAGACTAAATTTGAGATCGTATAGTCAAATAGCTAGAACAGTATACGTGTGGTGTTATGTCTTGCAAAACACATATGCACCGTAATGATACCAAGTTCTTATAAAATCCAAATGTTAGTCAAATCTTGAGTTGTTTTTCACGAAGTGAGTGAACTTATGGGAGATTTGATTTGATTTTTTTTAATTAGGAGGTCGTGGGTTCGATTCCCACCCAGGATGAATATTGTGTGATGAGCACTGTCATTTGTTCTGTGTCTGGGTGTAATTTATCTATAATATGTATCTATTTAGAAATATATAAGTATGTTTATTAGCAGTCTGGTTACCATAGTACAGGCTCTGCCTAGTTTGGGATCAGACGGCCGTGTTTGAGTGTGTGAGATATATTATTATTATTATTTGAACCTCGCAGATCGATCGCGCTGATGATAGAGCTCATCACACAATGTTTGTCCTAGTTCGGAATCGAACCTACGACCTCTGGCTTAGCAGTCAGGACCGCTAGCCCCTAGACCAACAGGCCCGGCCCGTTTTTTTAAATCTAGAAGTTACTAAATTTTGAATGAGAATAGTCACGATAGTAAAACATTGTTGTAAATGTCTAAAAAAGGTATTCTAAAAGTCATAGATTTAGCTTAATAATTAATTTCATCAATCATTCTTAATTAATTTGGCCCTAGCGATATTAAGTAAATTATTACGGATTTAAAAAAAACAAATGAATCCATAAAATGACAGAGACTAGTTCTTTTTTTTTTATTCTTGAAGCATACTTATCCACAAAATGAGATGATATTCTCGCAAAAGTACCTACGTATATTTTTATTAGGACAAAACTTTAGTTATTTCAAAGTTAAATTGGTGTAGGTACTGGCTGTACAGCTAATAGTTGAAGACCCCGAAGTTGCGTTAATAACGCGTTTTTGCGAGGACCATTCGCGAAAATTTTGTTTTACTTGAATAAGAAAATAGTACACCCTAAAAAAGATATTTTGCGAAGCCTTGAATGGATATTAGTCTAAGAAAATTGTATGTTATTAGAATCAGTAAATAACTTGTTATTTCGTGATACAAGCCGAATGGAGGGATACTACGGCCTCGCAGAAAACCGGTGTTAATAATAATATAAGAAAATAATATTTTCGAACATCTGACACACAACGCCATCTAGCTTCAAACTAAGCAGAGCTTGTACTAGAGAAAACAATTAGTGAAATTATTTCTTTCTTTTTACCAAGTGAGTGAAATTGCTAAAATCCAAACCCCCTCAAAGACTCAAGGGGTGGCTAAGCACTAGTGGCTCTTGAGATGTATAAATGGACGATTTAATCAGCAACCATTGGGTGACGTCACTGCTCGTTTGCCGCCTATTTCGTAAAAAAAAACATTCATATTTATGGTAATTTGACAAAACAGCCAACCATAAATATATAAATAAGATGCCTGTAAACCATAAATATATAGAACAATATAAATTAACTTTCAAACTCCTTTCATAACACCTACGTTCTCGCTTCTCAGGGAGGCCCACCGTCTCATGGCAGCTCTGCTGATGCTGAAGAATGCACGCCACCACCGCACCCAACAGGCCCGTTCATACCGCCTCCGGATACAAAACTTTACACACCGACTAATTCCTACAACTTTTCCATGGATCTACATCCATCATTAGCTGGTAAGCATTTTATTATAAATTTGTGTCATCATCATCATCATCATCAACAGCCTTTAATAGTCCACTGCTGGACATAGGCATCTCCCTACACAGGAGGTTTTGGCCTACTATACAACGCTGGCCAGACGGGTTTTTATAGGGTTTGTGTCAAGTTTTCCTTCTCTTTACAGTGCTGTTGTCCTGCATAGTTTTCTCCCTTAGTCGGCTTTTACGACACCGACGGGATGAATAGGGGTGGTGACACTCCGTATTCTTAATCCGTCACCACACGGACGAAATTGTAGTTTTAACTAACTCGGACACAATGACAGATTTGTGATGCAGATTCCAATTCACTGTTTAAAGTTTTTAAGTTCAATTTACTGAACAAACATTTTTAACAGAGTTTGAAATTCTACTGTTGATTTTACGTCAGCTTTATATAACATTCACCGACTGTTTTACATAGAATAAAAATTTTATTGTATTATAAATTTACCTGTTATGGATTGAAATTTCAAACTTTGAATTACAGATTTATATTTTAATAAACTTTTCTTAGGCGATTACTGTTACAGTCAGAAAGAACTGTTAAAGTCAGTCCAAATTTTTTTTAACCGGCAGTAGTATAGGTCTACTGTTAACGTGCCAGTTCCTCATTTGAGTTAGACGAAATTATTACAGTATGATGTTACAGTCTAAAGTACTTTTGACAGATTTTGGCGGTTAAACACACTTTTGACCGGGACTTCTGTCAAAAGAGGCGCTCTTGCATACGGTTGGTAGAGAGAAAGAAGATTGATCAGCTCTTGTCACTGATTGGCTATTTCAAATGCCCTCTTCAGTATCAGCCAATCAGTGCAGAGAGGATAGATAGATGCAGGACTACAACAATATTCTTTCTCTGTCTAACGCCCGTACGCTACCACTTGCAGAGGAATGCAGTTGTCTCCCTCTATTATATCATGTCTATGGTTCTGACTGTAACAAATATATTGATTAAAATATTCTACATTATGTTATAGATAGATGGCGTAACTGTGTATTGTTTACAGGTCTCCAAAATACGTTGACTCCTGACGGCATGGCGAGCACTTCCCAAGGTGAGTACCAGCTTGTCTAGCAACGAGTTTATTTTATTGCATTACCTACATATATTGATATAAACGATATTTTTAATGCACTGTCTGTCGTATGCCACCATCACCGCTTCCTCTCTGCTCTGTCATTATTAGGTTTATATATCATAATTAGGTTTTTATTATAATTTTTTTTGTTTTCAAAATGTATGAGGCAATTATCACGTGACATATAATTTATTTTATTAATATATGTATTATTATATTTAATATATTATTAACCTTTGTATATGTCTTCATTTGTGCTCTGTGTTTCTGTATTTAAATTAATGTTAGCTTTTTGTGTTATGGTTCGATGGAGACGCATAGGTACGAATTTATTTTGATTCTGTAAAGATTTCAAGGGTGTTTAGTAACTGTACGATTGGAACGTATGTTGTTCATTGAACCAAAACGCAATGTGGCGTGCATGTAATTGTTTCTGTAACATAGTGTAATGTAACTATACGAAGATATGCTAGCTTGTTTTATAGATGTTAAACGAAATTGTGTGCTAGGAAAACCCCTCACTCCCATGTCTCCAACTTAGGTTTTTGTTGATAATTATTTGACTTTTCTATTTGCAATTTTTTTTTTCAATTTTTCAAATTTATCTTTATTTACCTTACTATTCCACGGACAATTAAACATTATTTTCGGACATAATTGTACACCAATTGGCTGTTAATGATTTATTTCAAAATGTTATTAAACAACAACAAAAAAAAAACAAAACAATCGAGAACTAAGAAGAAACGTCAAAATTAACTTGAGAGAAATTGTATGTTAAGTTTTGAGTTTGGGTGAAACGAATACAAAATGAACTTTCTTATTGTTGGAAGCATAGCGGATCTCATGAATCATTTCTAAATATACTATCGAGTTACACTCGATCACATTGTCTTGGGAATCGGAAAATATAATAACAGGGAGATCGAACAATGGAATTTTAGTAGTGGCATGGTGTCGGTTTATATAAAATACACTCAAATTATTTCATTGAAGAATTAAAAACGCTTTTGTTCGGGAAATTCGAAACAAACGTACCTCGTCTGTTATGACAACGGACGCTGTCCATCTCACAATCATTGCCGAGCTTTACTTTCGAGGAGTAGGCGGACAATAATCTATGCGTTACTAATCCACCGCTTCGCATTTGAGGCCGGATGCCTGTCATCAGTAAAGGGGGGTGGCGGTGCTTATCAGAGGCTACGATACGAGAGTGCATTATTCGCGACCGGAGCAACGACGGGGCTAACCGCTTGTGTTGTGACCATGCAGGTGGCGCACGCACCCCCCAAGAAGATTACAGATGTGAGCCTTGTAACAAGAGCCTCTCGTCGCTGACGCGGCTCAAGCGGCACATCCAAAACGTTCACATGAGACCGTCCCGAGAGCCCGTGTGTAACATTTGCCGGCGGGTTTACTCGAGTCTGAACAGTCTCCGCAACCACAAGTCCATCTACCACCGCAAGCAGCCGCAGCCGCCGGCCGCAGCGCCAGGCCCCTTCTACTCGGTGAACTGACGCTCCGCCCCGCAGCGCCGGCGCGCCCCACGCGCCCCACGCGCCCCCCGCGCCCCTCGCGCACCCTCGTTGCCATTCGAAGAAACCGAGCTGCCATCCTAACCACCTAAACGCCATACTCTTGCCCCTAGAACTTCTAAGTTAAACGATTGTAACGCGAAATGTTCCTAACATTTGTATATAGCATAGTAATGCATGCGCATCGCAAACTTTATCTTATATCTATGTATAATTTATTATTTTCACTAAAACCTAATCGTAATTAACGCTTGGTGCGAGCTCAGCGCACGCGCACGTGGCCGCCACGTCGCTGCGCTCGCACGCACGCCTGTCTGGAACCAATTGGGACATCTAAGATCGGTACACGCATAACCACCAACCGTTTTGTAAAAAGCGCATTAGTCAAATTCGGATCTAAAACACGTTGAATTGCCTCTACTAGGTTCAAAATTCACTAGCAGTGGTACACTACTGTGCCAATTGGTTCCGTCACAATGGGACCCGTCGAACGCGAGCGGTCGCAGTGGTGTTGGATACGAAGCGTTGTGTATTGTTGACTAATGCGCTCATGTTGGTTGTTATGTGTGGCGCAGTGGGCCCGTTGGGCGCGGGCCACCGCTGCGAGGTGTGCGGCAAGCTGCTGTCCACGCGGCTCACGCTCAAGCGGCACACGGAGCAGCAGCACCTGCAGCCCCTGCACTCGGCGCGCTGCAGCCTCTGCCACAAGGTGTTCCGTACGCTCAACTCGCTCAACAACCATAAGAGCATCTACCACCGCCGGCAGCGCGGCGTGCCGCAGCAGACGCAGCCGCAGAACCTCACCACCGGCCCCGACACTAAGATCAATCCGCCACACCACACCATTGACTTCTACAAGTTCAAAGACCAGTTCAACGTCTAACTACACACGAGACTTCACACATTATTAATCTTTTGTTTTCGGAACAAAAAAAAACCTCTATTTAAAAACAAATGAAAAATAATATTTTTTTATTTTCCATATATTCTTTTATCTCTACAACGGGACTCGATATATTTTATGTTTTCCAGATTTTGTTTTCTATAAATATTTATTTTATAAACTTTGAACTTGTAATTAAGGATTGACACGACTCACATCACAAGACGTACGGCTTACTAACATTCCAGCCTTTAGGAGGGAGAACCAGCTAGATTTACTCAGAGATAAAATATGAATTGTGTTATCGTTCAGAAACAACAGCGATCGAATGCGCCCGGAGAGTGCAATACTGCGGTATAATAAATAATTCCTGAATTTTTACACTATGTTTAATGTGCGACAATAAGGCGAAAGAGAAAATTAATATTTTGTGAAAAGATGAAAAATCTTGGTGCTGTAAATTTATATATTAGGCTTAAATTATATAAAAAGAAATCGTGTTCGTGTAAGTAACAAAAGAGGCATATGATTTCAAATTGTGTTCATTGTTTTCGGCAATTTATTTATTCTGTATTTTACCTGCATGATCTCACTCTTAGATATTTATACGAGATTACTAAACGAAAATATGTTAAAAATATTTAAAAAAAATTATATACACAGATATATAATTGGCGTATGAGGCTTTTCAAATTATTATTTATAATTTAGGTATTTGTTCAATTTTTAAGACTGAATTCAGGACATAGCACCAATAGAAGGGAATTAAAGATAATTTTTGCAACTTAAGTAAATAAATTTACCAGCAGATAGCACTACCACAGTATAACACCGGATTTTCACAACACACACACAGAATACCCACACACAGACAGTATAACTGACACACATATAAATTTCCTAATTTTTAAAGTCGACTCTATATTTTATTAATTTATTTATTTATTTTTTGTCGACTTATTCAATTTTGTTGCTTTTTTTTATAATTAATGACAATGCAATCACCAGTTCACGATAAACGCGTTATATGAAGTGAATCGCACGGTGCCATCTTTAATGCATTATGGCTATTTTATATTTTGTTAGTTTAGTCAGATTTATAATTTTTTTCACACGTTAGTTTTACTAAGATCTTGTGTTCGTTTCTATAATTATCTCGTTGAGCCTTTTTAGAATAGGTTTTTTTTTCAAATGTTTTTTTTTGCTTTTTATCAAACATGTACTCTTTAATGAAATCTTTTGTACGTAAATAACACTAGTTTGTTTTTTTCTTGTTTTGTACAATTGTAATTACACATTATTATTATATACATAATAGGTAATAGTATAAAACAAATTTTTAATAACTCTCAGTGTTAAATGTTCCTAAATTTGAACAGTGTGAATTTTTCAACTATTTAATGTTCCGTGCTGGATGACGTCAGACGGAGCTTTTGCTTGCCATATAATAATTTTAGTCTACTATTGGATGGGTAAACTTCAACGCGATATGGGAAAAGTAAGAGATATGAGTAAAATCATATGAAATTTTGGAAATGCTTTTAATTCCATGGGATTAGAAGTGATGTTTATCAGACCTGGGGCTAAAAAACACGAAACGAGATTTTTTGTTTTTTTTTTGCGAAAATTTTCTCGTTAAAGTTAAAACATCCAATATGGTAAAAATACGCGTCTTTCCTTTGTGAAAATTTATTCTAGTTCATGAAACATCACTACGACCATAATGGTCGATAAAATATCACTATTGTTAAATTTTTCTTTTTTATAGCAATAAGTGAACTTTACATGTAAATGTTAACATAATTTATTATTAAATGATATACACATTAAGTAATGTTAGTGCCTGCTTCATAATATTGTGTTCTTATTGACAAAAAAAAGACATATTTTGCGTATTTTTTCGTAAAGTCGTTAAAGCATTATTAGGTTGTGTTCGAAACACTTTGACCTAGGAAGGATGCTTTATCCGTAACAACTAAGAGGCTTTCTAAAATGCTATATGTTATAAATTCTGTTGTTATTGCTAGATACATAAATGCTTAGCCATTATTCGTTTAGTTAATTAGTAAGCTTTATTATAATAGTTTGGCCAATTGGAAGACTAGAGATTTGGTGCTAAAAGGAACGATGTTCGTGCTAGATGAGTTAAGGGTTTCGAAAATGGAATCTAAATTTTTTTCTAATATTTCGCAACATTCCGTGTACGAGAAATGAGAATAAATAAAAAATGTTAAGTTTTTATTTGCGTAACATTGCAAAGTTTCAAACGTAGGATTGTTGTTTTTTTATTAGTAATTTAGTCATAGTTTTTTCTTGTTAATTTGGGTTTGGGAAATTAAGTTAGTTGATTAAATAGGATTAAGGTTTATCTGAATTCATATAGGTAATAGAAATACATGTTTAATTTACAATTACAGGGATGTGCTGCAGTGGCAGTACGGTATTTCAGCTATTTTCATTATAGCTATGATGAGAATTAAGAATTTATTTAGTGAAAAAATTGTCTCTGGTTGGGAAAAAAGTTGCCAAAATAATAAGCGCTATAGACTGATTAGAGTAAGTACGCGTTTGAATTGTACACTATTAGGCGTATTTTATAGATAAAAAATGTACATTATTTACTAAATTAATTGATAATTTTATAAAAAAAGAATGTGGAATGGCACACAGAAGGCGGTCAAAGCGTAATTAATTTTGGTATTATCAACTCGAAATTAATTTGTGATTCAAATGATCTTTGGTTCGAAGTTTAGGTGTTAAGTTTATTTTGGGATCTCGAGAGGCTGCCTGGCCTGCCCGGCCGGGAGCCTCGGGTATGGAAGAAGGGTTAAGAATTACACCGTGTTCTAAGGAGCAGAACACATCCCTGTCAAAATCTATATTAATTAGGATCTTAGCAAGATTAAGACTGTTTCTGTGACCTGTTTAAGTTTGTATCTTTCTAACGTGTTAAGGTAATTTTTTTCATGCGCGCTTGATGCGCGTAGGTCGACTTTATCCAATGTGTTCTTATACTTCTTGTTGGCATTTTTACTTATTTTATAAGGAATCGAAATTAATTTATTGGTTGTTGTATTAAAATTTTATATATTATTTTCTTAAATTATTGTTCTAATTCTTCGGATCTAGATATTTTTTTGTTAATAATTGGCATCTGTGTAATGCAGTCCATTAGATTTTTAATGTTATTCGTGTTTGTGCCAAAACTACGGTGTTATTATTTTTGTCTTCCATTTTAATAAGGCTATTTCACCAACACGTAGCGTGGAACACCAAAAACAAAAGTTATTTTAATGGGCTGCAAGTTAATTATTCTAATAAGTAAATCAATTATTTCGCAACACTATAATATTATATATTCATAAAAATAGTTCTTTTCCTTCCTTACTTTTTAAATTAAAAATAATTGAAGTAACTACTCATAAAATGTAATCGTTAAACCGAACTTCATAAATCCTAATATTGATGATAATGGCGTTTTTAATAAAAACAAATATACAAAAACAATATTGCCAGTTTTATTAGATAATCCTCTAACAACCGTTTATTATAATTTAAAATAAAAATACTGAGCTTATTCGTAGAAAAAAGTAGGTAATTTCCATAGTGCACTGTTTTATTTTTTTTATCAAAACACGCTTAGCATATCTAGGTTTCCCGCCTAAATATTTATTTCCCGCCTCAAACGCATGCTGACTGTTAACACCCTTCATGAGCCACTGTAGCTTCGCCATCATTTCAGTTTATTTTTCTATTTTATTTATCATTTTATTTAAGTCACACTTTTTTTCTTTTAAACAAAAAATTGCCAGTATTAAAAATCCCTGGATTAGGTTATTTTATTTTAATTTATACCGCGTTCGGGGACCAACCCCACATTTTTTTGTTTTTTCCGATCTGTTTACAGGTAAAAAGTTATTCTCGTGCTCGCTATGCGGGAAGGTACTATGTTCAAAGGCGTCATTGAAGCGGCATATAGCTGACAAGCATGCCGAGAGGCAGGAAGAGTACAAATGCACAATATGTGAGAGAATATACTGTTCGAGGAACTCGTTGATGACCCATATATATACGTACCACAAGTCGAGGCCGGGGGACGATCCGATACGATTTTTTTAGTGACTACTCGGACGGAGATGGCGCGGCGTGCGGCAGTATTCATCTAGCAAAGAGAACCAACACGAGCCCAACCTACCTGACACCGCCGTACATAGCAACACACACAAAGGTTAGAATTTGTTTATAGACGAAAAAATAGAGAACAAACGATCTAACTCATTAACATGATGGATATGTCCTTACTTAGATTAAGCTAGGATTAAGGGTCCTTCTAAAATTTTTATTTCAATTTTGTTTTCGATGTTCATTTAGATATTTCTTTGAATTTGTTTGTATTATTTTTTCTTATTACTACCCCGCGCCCCCCACTCCCGTCGGGTTTCGCAGTTTTGACGTTGTTGTGTTGCTTGGAGCATGCTTCTATCATTTTGTTATCACGTGTCTGTGTTATTGTGGTTGAAAGAATTTCCTTAAGATTTTGAATATTATGAAAATCTCGTGATTATTGTGTAGTTAGTAAATGTGTACAGTGCATATTATTAGTATTATTAATTATTATTATTAACCTCATACATTGTATTATTGAATAATTAACAAACAGAAAATCATATACAAGATTTTCTTTGTTTCGTATGTTGCAAGCTCACTAAAACTACCCAGTTTTGTGGGTTATAATTCTTAATTTAAATTATGTATATTTGTGTTTCCAGCAGTACCGCCCCTCCGTATGCCACCGCCCACCGCAGGCGGTATCAACGAGCCACAAGAGTGTCCATACTGCCGCAGGACATTCTCTTGTTACTATTCCTTGAAACGACACTTCCAAGACAAGCACGAACAGTCGGACACGCTTTACGTGTGCGAGTTCTGCCACCGAAGGTACAGGACGAAGAATTCGCTGACGACGCACAAAAGCCTGCAGCACCGCGGTTCCAGCGGCATGCTCAAGCGCCTGCTGAAGACGTCCGCGCTGCACTCGGCGCTCGCGCCCTCGCCGCACCACCTGTTCGACCTCGGCGCCAGCGACCATGGCCCGCAGCTCCCGCCTGGCCTTCAATGACCACAGACCATGGCTTAAATCGGTGGCAGATCTCCCTGTTCCAAATACCCTTGGTATATCCGCCAAGCGTATTTGTAATACGGCCGTAAAATGGACGCGCTTACGATACGGATAGCATCATATGTGCAATATTACGGACAATGCCAAAATAATGCAGGACTTACGCCGCATTTTATGGTTAATTGTATTATAATTAGTAAAATATTGACGTTAGAATTAAAAAAATTACATAAACAGTATTGTCGCGCGCGACTTATAGAAGTCGTTTAGTGTACGCTTCGAGGATCGGAATTCGCTTTGTGACTTTACGTAACAGTACGCGAGTTACGACATTTTCTAGTGAAAATGTTCCAACAGTGTTCAAAATGACAATGTAATCCAGAGCAATACTAAAGTATTAATATTTCTAGTACTGCCAAAATTGCGCCAACTGTATTCTAAAATAAAAAAGAAATACGTTTTTTAAAATCACTTTTCGATAAATGTCTAGTGTCAAATTAGATTCGATAACTGTACAAAAGGAGAACGTACAAATTTTAAACCGTAAATTTTTAAAGAAATGCAAAGAAAATATTTTTTACTGAAACTTTTTTCGGAACGCCAAATCTAAATTAATTAAAAAGATACAGATTATTTAGCGGTTAATTACAAATGTTTAGATTAAAAATAATAAAAAAAAAATGTTGATGTTGAGTAAAAAAATTAAAGACTTCTTAGAATCTGATTTCGATAGTACAAAATTTTACGTCTAACAATATCTAATATATGTGCGTTTGGCTTCTATAAAATATGATTATGATCAATGTGTAAGTAGCCGTGCCTTCGTTCGTCTTCAAAAAAAAAGAATGAATTTCCGAACTGACGAGGTATGAGCAAGCGACGGTTCACGAACGAATCAGAAGTTGGCAGTGACTTTTCGAAAAGGGAAAATTCTTTAGGGTTGCCAGACTCCGGTGGGATCCTTGAATACAGGGTTAAGAGTGAGTTAACTGATGTAGGAAATAGAAGCGCTGGTTTGCCAGAAAGTGGGTCTTCGAAAAGCAGTTCGACGATCGTATACGTGTGCATGATTACAAATCATGGGACAAAATCCAACATTTCTTCTGTATAGAAATACGTAGATTTTAGGTATTAATTAATAGAATTATATTTAACCTGTATCCATTTTCGGACTTCTCTCTATGAGTGTATAGTGGTTCTTATTTAAATGTCGACCAACGTAGCTGATGTCTCGTTATTGAAAATTTATTAGATTATTATTATATTATTCTCAAAAAAATCTTAGGATTACCTAACCATAAGATGGCTGCAAATTGTATAAAGAATTATTTTATTTACATAAGTCGTAGGAAATTGCTTGCAAACCGCGTTTTTTCACGAAACACGACATATCTACTCAGGGTGTATGAAACCTTTTTATTTTAAATATCTATAACGATGAGATCCAACTCTTTAACCGACATATCACAAAAAAATAATATCTCTAAATGAACAAAGTATTTTTAACACCGTGATATTTCACAAAGCCAAAGAAAAATTAATATGAATTATATTTGTTCTTCTGCATTTATCTAAAGTAGAATAAAATTCTGGGCAGTTTTCTGAAGAATGTCAAAATACTTAAACGTATTGTGCCATATCCATTTTACACGTTTTTAATAGAATTTTCCAAATTTTGGAACATATCAGTATCATTGATCACTAAGTGTTTTTTTTTTTTTTATCAAACCGTCACAGATAAACAAAAATCAATGCATTATGTACAGTGTCAATGCAACATCTATAGGTACAGCTGGTAAAATGCCAATGCAACTGTTTTATTTGACAGCAGGATTAATTTTGCATTTATTTTTCAGATATTAAGTAATTTGGGTATAGGATGTAATGTAGTCTTTCTTTTTATGTTTTTGCGTTCTTTTTCGGAATGTTACATATATGTGTACTTTGTGATATGAATACATTTAATGAGAAGTTGTTTGGTATATCCAGATTTTTAACATTTAAGTTTTTATCATTTTATCCTCAGCTTAAATAAATGTTGATTGCGGGTTGAGTTTTAAATAAATTAATTTTACATTAACATTAGCTGGTTAAGCCCGTATACCTCCATTTTATGTAGTACCTCAAGAATATTATTTTGTTTTTATTTTTATTTCATTGTTACGCAGGCTGTTTTATTTTTAATGTAAAGAAAACACGTCGATGAAATAATTTCGGAAATATTAAAGATCATAGAATCATTTAGCTGGAGCTTAGAACGAAAGAGCAAGCGGGTAGTTTGAATTGTAAATATAAGTTTAGCGATTACATACATTACTGAAGTATCGTGGCATCGTTCGGGAATAGAAGCCTCGTGATATTATAAACTAAATAGTAAATAGGTAAAATCATTAATGGAAAGGATTTTTATATATTCTAATAATGGATTTATTAATAGTGAAACTTAGACTTAGTCTCAATGATGTTCTTTTAAATGTTTGTGTTTATTGTTTTCGCTCTGCAATTATTTCTTATCGGTTTGGCTGTTTATTGAGCTTATTGTTGACTGCTTCGTTGAACTATTGGATTTTATATCCGTTTTATTAGTGTGGTTCAATTTATTTGGACATTTTTTTCTAAATTGATCTCAGTTGACAGCTGCGTACTACATCAATATTGGAGACAGCCGTTGGTGATTGTTGTTAGGTCTTATGTAATTGTAAAATTTGTGTTAAGTTTGGATTATGTGTCGGCAAAAAGGATAAAAGAAATCGCAGCGTAAAAATTCAAAAAGAGATGAAAAATGATAAACATAGATCGCAAAAGAAACAGCGAAACAATAATTAAAAGTATATTTTGCAATGTATACCAAAATACTGCATTTTTAAATAGTAAGTTAAAAAGTGAGAAAAACTTTTATATACGTGTAAATTAATAGCAGCCCCTTTCAATTTTGCAATATGTTATTTTCGCTTCTTCGCCAGTTAGCTACTTACGTTAAGTTTAAAGAAATAATTTTATAAACCGACTGTGTTACTAATTAGCGTAATGCATATAGTAATCAACAACGGGATGCCTTCTAAACAGTACAACTTTAACAATAGCTTACAGTAGATAAATAAATAAGAATTTTCAAACTTTGAAATGGTCATTTGAAAATTAACTCGTATCATTTGAATTTCTATCAAAGAATTGTAAAGATCTAGGTTAATCAAGTAATTTGTTGAACAGTGATATACAATCTCTTTCGATTTTGTATCATTGCTTATGGACGTCTGGTTGTGCTCGGTCTTTTATACTCTTTGGTATATTTATGTAGTAATTTACGCTTCCTAATTGAGTCTAATACCTCCAAATGTCATTTCAGAGTTTATATTTTCAATTTTTATTTGCATATGTCAGTAACTATTGAATTTTATTACAGTAAAGTTGAAACTGCTGTATATAGAGTTCTCGAAACTTTTTAACGATTAAAATGGTTTTCCATGACTGTCATTAGAATAAATTATACGCGGAGTTATTAATATTTACCTAATCTAATGGATAGGCAGGTAACATAAAAATTCAGAAAGTTTAATGTATAAGTTCAAAAATAGTTTACGGAGTTTTCTCACCTTAATTAACACATGTTCACAAACCGTTTCACAAAACTGTTTATTAGGAAAATAAAATGCTTGTGTCGTAAGTATTACCTCCTATAATTTTAAGTATTACTCCAATTATATAATTTTATTTCTAATCTATAAGTTTAGGTCACGATATCGCCTGCAAAAGACGGGCGGTTGAATTTATGTATGTACTAATATACAACATACAGTCACGATAATGTTTTATATTTATCTAATTATATGTAAATTGTGAACAAGATATAACAGATGTAACATAGTATTTTTCCCATACATACATTTTTTGTTGATCCATTATCCATATTTAAAATGCAATAGTATATCCGTCTTTATTTTAATAAAAAAACAATATTTTTAATAAAAACATGACGGAACCAGATCTTACAATAGTTATTTATAAATAATTTTAAAGAATTGCTCGATCGGTAAAGGGACACCCATCTTTTAAGAATAAATCGACTGCATTTTTTTTATTAAGTCTTTTACAAAGATGCTCACAAATTAATATTAATACTTACAAACTAGTAGTGGTTTAGTACGCGGAACATGAGTCGATGTATTCTTAAGTCAATAGCTTTAATATTTATATCAGTATCTTCCACTTTAAACGTAATATAACTATTAATAATTACAGTTATAGCAATAGTTCCCAATTCACCAGAATACCTCAATATAATAGTAATATTTATGTATGAATTATCAATAAGCTACGGTCAAGCAGATTTCGCGCCTATTTCAAATGTCAATTAAGATTATAAGAAACTTAATAAATTAAATATAAACTTCGCCGATTTTTTAGTTTGTTAAATAAGTAAATATCTAGTTAATCTTTATTTCCAACTTCGAGATATTGTTTATTATATTATAATATTTAACATATAAAGAGTTAGTTTAGTGCCAAACATTGACAATATTCTCATATTTTATTATTTTCATCTCTCTATTTCCTAGAAGTACAATAAACATATATGCATATATCAGTGTTAAATCTGCTATACTACATTATCATAGTTCCGTAAATCAAAGTGCACTTACAACTTTTTATATAAAAATAATAAGTATTATATACTAAGTAGTACATATGTTCCCCGGTCGAGCAATTGTCGTTAATAACCCGTCTATAACAGTACATAAAATAAAAAGTATTTACAATATACACACTATGACATACAATATACAGACAGTTATATGCTAGTAGTCACTTTTATCTACAGATAAAGACAGCGGGCACTTTTACTAAAAATCGTTAATTCATGAGCAATTTTATTCTAGAACCCGTATGTTGAGTGTTGACAATGTTGAGCAGTTATCACACTCAGCTTTCCGCTGAGTCGTCAATGTTATATGTAGTATACTCGGTACTTAAAATGTTGAGCAATGAGTTGTTTTACTTGATTATTAATTTTCACTTTAGTAGTTAGTAGTTTAGTAAAACTGTACCGCTGTTACTTGTTATTCTCGGGTGACACATTTTATACACAGAAATATTTTTTTACGAGAAAAATAAAATACAATTTATATTGTGAGAGTTAATTAAGTGGCAATTCTAATTTACTACATTATATTTTTGCTGACACACTTAGGATTAGAATTTTTCCCTTTTTTTCGTAATTTAATGTATGCACGATCTGCGTTTTTATTAGCATTCATTTTTTTTTCTTTTTCCTTATAAGCTCTTTTGTCACAAGTGATACATGCTCTAGACTGTCAAAAAATATAAAAAATAAACTAAATTAATAATTTATTGTAATAAAAAAAAATTGTTTAAAAATGTTTAGGTACAATTTTGTTGAGCAGGTATCACTTTGTACATTTTATTATGCCTAATCTAATATTGTGTTAATAAGTAAAAGTTATAGTTTGCCATCGTTGATCAAAGATGTGAAAATAATGTGTTAAATTTAGTTGAATGGAGTTTTGTTATATTTTTAAAGGGTCCGGGACGAGGTGTGTACAAAAATGATTTATAGTATTGTGTATCGATTGATTAAGATTAGATGTGGGGCCGATAGGACCTGGTAGGCTTCTTAAAAATTGTTGTAAGTTACACCCAAGTCGGTGAAGGCACTTACAGTACTACTGTTGTATGTAGATATGAGGAAAAGTTATTGAATGATTTTAAATCATCACTGAAGCCATGATTGCCTAATTAAAAAAATGAAAACGTAACTTTTTACTGTAAAGCTTTTTTAATATCAATGGCGAAGAATGTTATCATGAAAGTCTTTGTCAATGGCCAAGTGCGTCATTATTTTTTTAATCGGGCTTTTACTGTATATTAGTATAAGAAGTGTTTTAACATTTTTTGTATGAATGCAGTGTCTAAATCAGTATTACATTCGGAATAGTATATTTAATTGAAAGTAAGTTTTTTCTTGATTCTTTTAAATAATGTAGAATAGGAAATAGATTCGTCAAACGTTATTTCAGGAGTGTGTTTGTAAAAGCAGAAGGAAAGGCTGGAACAAAGCACGCAATGTACAACGAATCGCCTCTGCATTGATACAAAAAGTAATCAGCTCATGTTTCAGTGAAATTTAAAAAAAAAGGTGTCTTTACTTGTTTTGATGTTGTTGATATATGTGAATAAGGAATCAATTCGGGTTGAGTAAAACTATTGCCACAAAAGCATTGGCTGTCAAAATATTTTTTATTTCATTACGGTCTTTTACGTTGCAACATAAAATAGAGATGCAATGAAGCAGTAATGGAATACAAAATATTGATGTATTCTATGTTTTCGTGTCAATAGTCTCGTTGGTAGGAACATATCAAATAGTCGGAAAACTTAGTACTATAAGTATCTTTGAATCTGACTGTTTCGTCTAAACTGTACGGTAAAATATATCGGTTATTTTTAAGTTTAGGTTTCTAACAAAATCTGCGTTTTGAATTCTCAGCGACGTATAACAGTTGAATGTAAGAAAACTATAAAATAAACTCGCAGTGATTCCATTGACGATCAAATCTTTCATTCTTTTAGTTTAGTACCTACCTTTATGAATAAAATGCTCATACTACACACATTCTCACACTTAACCCACTCCACACGCTCTACTCGACTTGTTGACGACACAACAGTGACTTACCTTTCATTTTCCCGACTCCGGGTCTTTTTTGTCCCAAATTATACAGGCATCCATCCTAACATAAATGTAAAATACCTATAATGAAATACCGTGAACGAGCCATTAGCGGAACACTGTCTTCCAAGTTACAGGAATACCTAGTTTGGTGGGCAGGGTCTACTTTGTACACCTCACTCTCACGTTATAATATGTTTATTGGATTGTATAATTGTAACAAAGGAATTGAAGTTCAATAAAGTTATTATTATTATTATAACACGGGAGACATACTGGTGATGAGTGGTGTAAAACTCGACATACAGTTAAAACTGATTAAATTATGGCTAAAACCCGATTACTAGGCTATCTCTAGTATCTATAATACTAATATCTGCTTCAATACACATTATGAAACGCTGCGTTTAATTGTCCATCTGTTTGTGACAAACTTAAAAAATACAGAAAGGATTTTAATGCGTTTTTCACCAAAACACTGAGTGATACATGAGGAAGGTTTAGGTGTATAATTTGTTAAGGTTTTTTGTAAATTGGTTGAAATATGACGATAATTGTGGAAAATGTCAAGGTGCCTAGAGCTTTAAGTGACAATAAGTTCAAGCGTGGGTCTCAGAAAAATTCAAATGATTTATTAATTTCGGACTAAATCCATATTATGTTAGTAACTGTGTGTCTTAACTTAGTGTTAAGTATTAATTAAAATTACTAATAAACTACAATTTACATTAATTTCTCCCAGTGAGTATGAATATATCCACCTATGCATGAGGTCCACCTACCTGAAATAACTTTCAGGATGCTGTTGGAGGAGTGCAAGCTGGTCAACATAAAAGCGCAACGTTTCCGCACTTTACCGTAAACCCGTCGACATGCGCCTCCGCGAACATTCTTGATGCGCTACAACGATACGACAACCCCGTAGGCACCCTGAAAGCTTGGTTATACTGGACGCGCAAGTCGCTGCATGACTTCTGTGTAAACTTAGTCCACAGTACAGTATACAGCGTGCAAATTTGTGAGCTAGCATATTGCATGTACCTCGGCATAATATGCTCTACTGCACATGCCAAGTCGGGTGGGGCGCTAGTGTTTAATAATTACTGAAGCGGCTTAGAACTTAATTATATTGATAATAAATCCTTAAAAAAACAAAGTTAAATCGACTTCAAACAATAATGATAAAGAGCACTAAAAATTAAAAAATCTAAGTAAAAATACCAAAATAAGTACCCTCAATAAAACAGGTAACATTATTATAGCATTAGTCCCTTCTAGTCTGTTTGAAGTCACTCATGGTGTGATGATCCTGTTGATTACCATAAGAGAAATGAAGATCGATAGCATTCAAACCAATGGTTATTCGAAACTCGGTCCGTTGTTGTTTACCAATACCCGACGTGTTAAGAACATTCCACATACTGAAACTATTTCACTTCAAACATACCTATTTGAAAAAGAACTATTTAGCAGTATGGCTGTAATAAAAACCAGCAGTGGCATAGAAAAAAGTTGTGGTTTGTGGTTGGATGGAAAATGATGCAACGAATATAAAATTCCAATAAATGTTATAAAACTAATCGGTACCAAATAATCGATGGTGGCGGTGGTGGCGCAGATGAAACCGATTTATCTTATGAAAATGAATTAACTTAAAATAAGTAACTTTTGTTTTCGGATGTCCCACCATGGGAGAGCCATGCTTCGTCACGAGTTATCCAGCTCGACCGGAGTAATACCACGATCTCCCATAAAACCGGCCTTTTGTTGCTTTTCACCAAGTGAATGAGGTCACCGGAGCCTAAACCCCCTTCTCTCCCTGTCTCTTGACTCTTGAGTTGTCCATGTGCAACGGTAGTTACTAACCATCAGGTGACCTGTCTGCTCGTTTGTCCCTTATGCCAAAAAAATATGTTCCTGATCTTCACTTGTTGAATTACTATTTATATGTAGCTTAATTGATTGCTAGAACTAGTATTTCGTAATAATAAAAGGAACAAATTTTTATACTTATTTTTTTCTTTCGTTATAACTAAATACATGTTTAGAGGAAAATTTTGCGACTATCGTAATTCCGTTTTTCGTTAGTGGTTTTCTGGTGATTTTAGATGTTTGAGGAGAGTTAATTTAACTGCTGGCAACACTGACTGTCAAAATCAAGTTGTCAATTTTGTCAATGTCAAATAAAACAGACAGTCCTCGGACCTCGAATGTTTACAATTCCACGTGTGTTTTAAATATAATTTGTGTGTAAAAGTAACATATATGATATAAAAAATGGACGCCTATGATATTTTTAAGAAATTAACCAAAGGTTTAACATTTAAACACCGGGTGTTAGGTGTTAAAAACAAGGTAAGTGAACATAACCTATCCATGGTATTTATTTGAAAATAAAGTATTAAATTTATTATGATAATATATCTTAAACGAACTACAGTCAATTCTAATAATATTGTTTATAATTAATACCTAAAACCCTATTTTAAAATCACTATGAATACTTGTAGAGAAAATTCTTGTAACTTTAAATACCATTCTATATTGTATTTATTTAAGAATCAATCAACTGATACTGTTCTAAAAAAAGAAGAGTTAGAAATAAAAGAAGAACTGCCTAGTGACAACGAAGAAGATTCTCAAAATGAATCTGATAATTCAGCATCAGAGGATGAGAACCCTGAAAGTGAGAAAGATGACGAGCTTCAATTAGTGGAGGGAGTCAAAGTAGGACAGAAGAGGAAAAAAGTAAAGAAAGCTAAGTCAGAAGATTTAAAGAAGAAGCTGGAGTTGGAAGAGGTAAGTTTATCCTATTGAGTCTAAATGCGGAAATCGGAGCCCACAACCAATACCAATCCTGTTTGGTACATTTTTACATCTAAACTACTAAACTGAATATGATAAAATTTGATGTTTGTAAAGTCCCCTGCAACACAGGATATATGCCTAATGCGGGCGTTGTGTTCTTTTACTTAAATAAATTAAATAAACTAACCTACTTATGAACAATAGGCTTGTTGACTCAATTTGAAAACTTGGTTAATTATATACTTTAATATCTTTTTTATCCCAAAAAACCTATATTTTAAAGAAAAAGCAATATTTACATTACATATTGTGTAATTAAAGAAATCAATTTAAATTTCTGATTAGTGGCATAGCGTCTTGAATGACGTCACAGCCTGCGAAACAAAATAGGTTACATCTGTGTACAGTGTCAACTGAAACTGTATTAAGGTGAGAACAGCATATTTTCTCAATGAAAAATGAAAAACAATAAGGAGTAACCTGCTCTTTTGTATGAAAACGTCAACAACAACAGTGATGTTTTGCGTGGCGTGACGTAACACTTTCTGATTGGTGTTCACTGTCACGTGACTTAATGCCTATTTTGTTCGAATTCATTTTTTAAAAATATTAATAATCTTTAACTTTTATGAGAAATAGACTGGTTTTTTTCTTATCTATGTCTCTTCACTTATAATTTGAAACTATAAACCAAGCAATTTGTTATTAGTGGACACAAGCCTACTGTTACCTATCTTCAAAATAAATTATTTAGCCAACATACCATCTTAAAAATCAATGAAGGTTGGTCCATCCATTTCTTCTTTTATTTATATCAACTTCATATCAAATTGAGAACCTTCTCATTCACAATTTGACAGATTTTTTCTCAATAGAATTGAAATTTGAAATTGAATTGAAAATCTATATTAAAGAAGAATATAAGATGAATGAAGCTTACTACAATATTTATCTTTTGATCTTTGACCACCATTTTGATCTTTTAGTACAACATTGTGTGTACACATTTTGAGATGTCAGTTGCTACACTATTTACTCTCCATCTCAATTATTAAATAAAACCTTTTACTTCTTAGCAAAACCGTTTCCGTAACGAACATGGCATCAAAGCAGTTGGTCGACATGTGCCCCCTGCACTTCAGGAATTTGAGGACTTGACTTCAAAATACAATGTATCCCAAGGATTGGTGGATACAGTGATGCAGTGTGGATATACAGAGCCTACTCCTGTCCAGAGGCAAGCCATACCATGCATGTTAGAGGTGAGTGTGTTTTAGTTAAAGTTACGTTGTTAAACGTTGTGTTTGAATATGTATCTATTTGTGATCTGCTGCAATATTTGTTTTATATTGAAGAATGTAATTAATTCTTTTGATTTTAGGTTGCTAGTAATCAGTTATATTAAACCTAAATTAGGTGCATTTTAAATGGAAATGAATATAATATAAACAGTAATCACTCATGTGAATAATTAAAAAACTATGTTCACCATCATGATAGCTATAGATATATTTAAAAGTACTTTACGACACCCACGATATGAATAGGGGTGGTGACACTGTATTCTTAATCTGTCACCACACGGCGACTAAGGGTGCAAACTATGCAGGACAACAGCACTGCAGAGAGAAGGAAAACTTGACACTAACCCTGTACCAACCCGTCGGGCCAGCGTGGTGTAGTAGGCTAAAACCTCCTTTCTAAGGCCTATGTCCAGGAGTGGACAGCCTTTACTAGTAAAGGCTGTTGATGATGATGATGATGATGATAAGTACTTTGGCTTCTGTTTCTTAAGACCAGCATTCATTCATTGGGTGTTTAATTTCATCAGGATCGTCAAATATTTGCTTGCGCACCAACTGGTTCAGGGAAAACAGCTGCTTTCCTTGTACCCATACTCCATTCCCTCGGAGTTCCGCAAGGTGGTCCCAGAGCGTTGATCCTCTGCCCAACAAGAGAGTTGGCTCATCAGATATATAGAGAAGCTCTCAGGTTGAGTGCAGCAAGTCAGCTGAGGTGCAGTGTGGTGAGGAATATTAAAGAGAGCAAAGTCAAAGAACGTGAGGCTACAATTAGAAAGAGTGGTATGTAATATTATATAATAATATTTCACAAATGTCATCAAAGATATTCTCATAGTAAAGTATTAAATATGCAACATTGACTGTAACATGATTATATTGGATTGTGACCGAAAGTTCAATCGGTATTCTTGAATTCTTGTATTAAATTATTACTAAGTTATTTATTTAATTATTTAGCCCGTTGAACTGAGTGAGATCTAATCTTTATGACTGTATTGATTCGTTTGGTTATAGGATGTCTCTCATCTCAATGTGCCTTTTGGCAAAGTCCTCCTCCAGTAGTTTCCATTGCTTCTTGTCTTGAGCAACTCCCCTCCATTTGTCTCCTGCAGTAAGTTACAGCTCGTGTACCCATCGCATTTGTTGACGTCCTCGACATCTCTTGTGGTGGATACCAATTCGTTGCAATTTGGCTCCACTTTTCTTGTAAAGATCTCAACATATGGCCAGTCCATCTCCATTTTTGGAGGTCAATTTTTTCCAGGATATCGGTTAATTTGGTTTTTGCTCTTAATTGCACATTGCTAATTCTATCTTGCCTTCTTTTTCCTGTTATGCTTCGTTCTATACCTCTCTGGCACTTTCTAAGTTTGTCTCTATGGTATTGTGTAAGGGACCATGTTTCATAGCCATAGGTGATGCATGTATTACTAAGACGTCAGTCTATAATACGAGAAAATCTTTTACGACAGTGTGCGATTGAGAGTTGAGATGAGAGAATGAGAATTTTGACCTTCTGATCTTAAACATCAAATGACTACTGTACGAGTTTGTTTTGTTATAATATCACATTAACCATTATCATAAAAACCAGCGTTTTCTTCCAATGAAGCATTTGGTATAATTTTTTCTTTAATCCTTCTTTCTTCCAGATATAGTGGTGAGCACTCCAAACCGGCTCTGCTATCTAATGAACCAAGAGAATGTCAACATGTCTTTAGACAAGTGAGTATTTCAGGAACTGTACTCCAAAAGGTTTATCATAATATAAAATTATCAGATTAATAATGGGCCGTCATCATCATCATCTCTTTTTTTTATGGAAGAGGGGGCAAACAGGTAGACAGGTAACTTGATGGAAAGCGACTGCCGCCGCCCATGAACGTCTGCAACTCAGGAGTCACAAGCGCGTTACTGGCCTTTGAGGAAGGAGTACGCTCTTGTCTTGGAGGTTTGAAGGTTGTATCGGCCCGGAAATACCGCAGACGACAACTTGTTCCAGAGATTGGTTGTGCGGGGCAAAAAGAGTCTTGAAAACCGCACAGTGGTGGAGTGCCCAATTATGCAAGTGAAGGGCCTGAAAATTTTGCCGTGTGGAACGATGGCGAAAAGTTGCGGCCGATATTAGTCCGAACAATTCCTCAAAACACTCTCCATGATATATAGCATAGCCGAAAGACGAACTTTGAGGTGAACTTTGTGGCAGCCCTACCTCCAGCAGTAGCTGGAGATAGGGCTGCCCCAAAGATCGCCACAACAGCGCTTGAACCCAAATGGGTCAGTACGACCGGTGTGATACCACGTCCTCACAGAAAACGAGTGTGACCTCTTATTGTTTTTGACCGAGTGAGTGAGGGAGGGTACATCAGCCCAAGACTCCCATCTCTCCTGATTATGGGGAGGAATCAAGGTAGGCAATGTACTTGTGACTCTTGAGTTGCAGATATCCACGAGCGGTGGTAGGCACTCACCATCAGGTGACACGTCTGCCCGTTTATCACAAAAAAAGCTATAAAGGTCTGTCTCGACTGCACGGATGGCGTAGTGGCTTATGCGGTCGCCACGCCGCTTCCTACAACGCCGAGTGTTGTGGGTTCAAACGTCCCACATGGGACGACACTTTGTGTGATCCACAAATTGTTGTTCTGAGTCTGAGTGTTCTTTGTGTCCGTTTCATGTATGTTTGTAAAGTCCCTCACCACACAGGATATATTCCTAGTGCAGAAGAAAAAAAAGAAAATAAAAGAAAGTATACATTTTGACCCATAGTACAAAAGTCCATACAATGATAGTTCAAGATATACTGGTCAATTAATTAATTCCCTCTGACATTCTTTTGTACTAAAATCAATCTGCTTTACAGGGTTCGCTGGCTTATCATCGACGAAGCAGATAAACTCTTCGAAGGCTCAGCAGACCAAGCTTCAGACTTCAGACAGCAACTAGACCAGATAATGGCCGCCTGTTCAAACAAGTTGAGACGGATTGCCATGTTCAGCGCTACCCACACCCCTGTTGTGGCAAAATGGTGCCGTCATAATATGAGGGGGTTGATTAATGTCACCGTTGGACAGAGGTAGGAGACCTTTTGGTACCACTTTCTACGACGAATAATAATAAGTGTAAAAAACAAGGGGGGACCCCTTGATTCAGAGGGATTTCAGAGGATTTCTAACAGCGGGCGGAGGCTGCTCTCCCTACGCGCCTCCGGCTCTAGAAAAACACTCTAGGGGTAGGACAGACTCGTACCAGGTGGAGTCGGGGTCAATCATTTCGGTTCTTGAAGTTGGACCTTTTTTTTTCACGCGGGGAATGCTTTTCGCGCCATACCCTCCGTTGGGGAAACGCAGGGCGTGTGTGGGACTCCCGGAAAACCGGTCTACCGACTAAACCCCGCGGCGGCCTACCTCAGCAGTCGGGAGGAGCTCCAGGACTTCTGCAGTCCTCCCTGCCGTACCCCATGTCTGAGGCACATCCCGGAGTGACCGTAGTCACCCTGGGGAAGGACGCTACCTCGCCTATCACTGCTCTACAGAATAAAAGGCGCAACAGCGTCCCGCCTTAGACGACACCTATTAAATAACCTATGTTATTTGTTGTCTGCCCTAATACAAATAGGTACTGTTAAAAAAAAAACAAATTAAATACTAATTAATAACAACTCGACGGATTGCTATGCTGATCTTTTCTGTTAAGAGTTACCACTAACTCAAAGAACTAACTAAGAGAGTATTGTAAAAGCTGAGGCAGCAGACTTGTGATTCAGCTTAAACTGTTGGAGAGTCTTGGTTGGGCTCATAGGGCACCTCAACCAAATTGACACCACTTCTTCACAGGAAACCAGTGTTAAGCAGTTCTTTGGTTTCTTTTCAAGTTAGTGCGGTTACCCAAGGGCCAATTCTCCCCCTCCCACTGATTCCTAGGGACCAAAATACAACTTATATCTTTTAAGTTTGTAGATATTTTATTGCTGTTTACCGAGTAGGGCTACCCGAGGTCCTACCTTTCTATCTAATGTGGCTTCGGAGTTGTGGATATTTATGGGCGGTGGTAGTCACTTACTATCACGTAGACCCTATAGAGTAAAAAGATTTTTTATTATTTTACAGAAATGCAGCAACAAATCTAGTAGACCAAAAGTTACTTTACTGTGGAAATGAGAACGGCAAACTGGTGGCGTTCAGACAACTCGTCCAGGAGGGGTTGAAACCACCCGTATTAGGTGTGTATTGATAATTAATAATAATAACCTCACACATCATACACGACCGTCACGAGATTGCTGATAAACACACTTATATATTTAGTAATACGTACATAATAGAGGAAAATAACTAATATTGAACCGGCGCTTAAATTGGACCAGTGCTATATTTCTACCAAAATGGTACTATTTTTTTACACTAGCAACTCAAAAAGGAGCGCTAGCAGCGCCACTCATACTCCGCCATTATGAAGCTATCTTTTTTGTTCCAATATAATATACAAAATAGTGCCATTTTGTTAGAAATACAGAATTGGTCCAATTTAAGCGTTACTCTCCCCTAGATAAGCAGGATAACTACACTTAGATGCAGAACAATAATCGTGCGTATAGTGAGCTCTACTCCGCTCCTAGGGGTTCTGGCGTGATGTTACATAAATCATAACTATATAATCATAACTACGTAATATTTTTGTGGCCGTGGTGCTTCCCTGTTTAAAAGGGTGTATGCCTATTTTACTTCATTTTGTCTCCCACTTTGCTAAGGAGGGAAGTGGATTTACTGTATTTCCAACTCCTCCAAATTATGATTAATTTCGTTGCGGGTTCCAAGACAGTTTAATTTCTTCCTGGGACTTCCCGAGTATCATAACTCGGTGTGTTCGTGGGTCACTGCTGTGGATCCTGGTGTACAGGAGTTACAGTGGTGGGTGTGTGGGTGGGATTAGTTAAAAAAAAACATAACTATCTTTAATTAATACACAGAACCCAGTCAAGGAGCGACTTGTTGGGTTTTTTTAAACAGGAAAAATTAAAGCGAATTTATTGTTGTTTAAAATTATAATGCTCATACAAAGTATTTTTTATTTTATTTTATTTTTTTATTTGAATGTAACAACGTTTCAAATAATGATAAATTTATGTTATAGCAAATACTATTGTATAATATGTCTGCCTATTATTTTAGTGGTTACCGGTCCTGACTACTGAGCCATAAATTCAAATTCAACATATCTTTATTTCAAAAAAAAATAATTGAAATCGTCTTTTATGTAGACTCTAAAGTCGTAGATCAACACACAATAGCAACAATCTCTGTTTTCTCCAATAGTTAGGTTAGGTTATTTAAAAAAAAAATATGCTTATACAAAATCTATGATATGCCTGTGCGGTTCCGCAACCGCTCGTTTCCAAGGGGTTGAGCCTTATGAAAAGAAATTGCAAACAAACTCATGGCCACTTTTTTTTGTAATTTTTGACATAGGTCGTAGGTTCGATGCCCGCTCAGGAAAAATATTGTGTAATGAGTGCGATTTTTTTTGTGTCTAGGTGTAACTTATCTATATGCATGAATTTAGATTTGCCCGGTTGACGGCAATAAGTTTGCCCCCTATAAAGTAGGGTCAATATTACAGTCGTACTTCTCTGTCTACCCCATCGGGGATGAAAAACGTGAGTGTATGTATCATCATCAACAGCCTTTACTAGTCCACTGCTGGACATAGGCCTCTCCTTAGTAAAGAGGTTTTTGGCCTACTACACCACGCTGGCCAAACGGGTTGGTATAGGATTTGTGTCAAGTTTTCCTTCTCTTTGCAGTGCTGTTGTTTTGCGTAATTTTCTCCTTTAGTCAGCTCTTACGACACCGACGGGATGAATAGGGGTGGTGACACTCTGTATTCTTAATCCGTCACCACACGGACGGAGTGTATATGTATGTATATATGTGTATATGCTCACACGAGAAATAGAATTTGTGTTCAATTTTATTAATAATTTGATATAATTTTTGGCAGTATTCGTTCAGAGCAAGGACCGTGCGAAGCAGCTCTTCAAAGAGTTGATTTACGACGGTATCAATGTAGATGTTATACACGCGGACAGAACACAGACACAGGTGAGTTATATTACTAAAATTAAAAACTTCAGTAAGTGGTCCGTATTTCATCATCATCATCAGCCTATCGCAGTCCACTGCTGGACATAGCACTTCCCGCATCCAGATCCTGTCAGCCATGTTGCGCAGATTGTCACTCCACCTGGCCTGTGGGCGTCCTACACTACGTTTTCCGAGATGCAGTCTCCACTCATGAACTCGTTTACCCCAACGGTTGTCGGCCAGCCCACTGCCACTTCAGCTTGCTAATTCGGTGGGCTGTGTTGATGACCTTGTTTCTCTGCTTGATCATCTCATTCCTGATGCGATCCCTTAGAGAAAAGCCTAGCATAGCTTTTGCCATAGCACGCTGTACGACTTTAAGCTTGTGGACCAGCCCGTAACCGTAAGTGTTCACGTTTCGGCGCCGTATGTCATGATGGGTCCATATTTCCATCCATCCATCTTCAGCAAGTGGTGGTGAATCCCTATTAACTGTGGAGGAACGGGTGTCATCATGCCCCTCCAACACTGAGGGAGGATTATCCAAGCACACCGCTGCCCTATAATTAATGTTGTGAAGTTGTAAATATACTAATGGGCGCAAGAGAACTTTCATTGCGCGATGTGGGTTAAGTAGTTACTCTCTAGTTCAGGGTGTCTCCGTTAGATGGCGCTAAAGAATGTTTTTGTTTCTCTGTATGTAGACGTCGTCATAATAATAATATTAGTAACTTGTCACATCTAACACACGTCATCTGATCCCTAATTAGGTAAAACCTGCACCACTGTAACCAGACATCTGATAAACATACTTATATATTTCTAAACACACACATATTACAGATGAATTACACCCAGCCAAAGAAAAAATGATGGTTCTCATTACACAATTATTTGTTCCGGGTGGGAATCGAACCCACGACATCTGGTTAGGTAGTCAAGGTCACTAACCAACAGACCAGACGTAATTACAAGTGCAAAATGGGTAGTACAATACATTTTGCAAGGTTTTTGGCTGGTTTCTTTATGACCAGTCGCGTGCCTTACGCCGATCCCCTATGGGGGATGCAATCGTTTTTAGAAGGGACAAAAGGGTAAGGAACACAGATAGGCCAAGGAGGCTAGGGTACAGGATTGACACTGCAGTTACTTTAATGGTAGACGTAACTGGAATCTGAACTATTTGCCTTTTCCACAGCGTGACAACGTGGTGCGCAGCTTTCGCGTGGGGCGTATCTGGGTGCTGATCTGTACAGAGCTGATGGGAAGAGGTATCGACTTCCGTGGAGTTAACCTGGTCATCAATTACGACTTTCCCCCCTCAGCCATCGCCTATATTCATAGGTAACTATATTTTTTTAAGTAAAACTTCTTTGACTTTGACTTGGGGAGTAACCTGGTGAATGCGTGACGAAAGCGTTACGAAAAGTGTGATCGGTCGAGGCGAACGGAAGTTGAGTATATCACACACTCACACACGGCCGTTGGATCCCAAACTAGGCAGAGCCTGTACTATGTTAACCAGACTGCTGATAAACATACTTATATATTTTTAAATAGATACATATTATAGATAAATTACACCCAGACACAGAAAAAATGACCATGCTCACACAATATTTGTCCTGGGTGGGAATCTAACCCACAACCTCCGGGTTAAGCAGTCAGGGTCAATAACCACTAGACCAACAGGCCCGTCAAAATAGCCAATCGCAGCTTAGGTATACAGAGAAAAATTTTGGGCATGCATCTCTCTGGTTGCCTGTATCGCTTTTTCTTACAGGCAACTGTATCAAGTGTTCTCTCTTACAGGCAACTGTATCCCGTATTTCTCTATGGTTATGTACTCGTATGTGTTTCGCAGAGTGGGGCGCGCTGGCAGAGCGGGACAGAAAGGTCGCGCCATAACTTTCTTCACAGAAGACGATGTTGTCAATCTCCGCAGGTTTGCTATTTCCTATACTTTCAGATAATTGTGGTAGTTTTTAACCTCCTAAAAACTTGACACAAACCCTGTACCAACCCGTCTGGCCAGCGTGGTATAGTAGGCCAAAACCTCCTTTCTAAGGAGAGGCCTATGTCCAGCAGTGGACTGTTAAAGGCTGTTGATGATGATGATGATGATGATAACCTACTACTGGCAGTAGGACGATTCTACCTTTCTAACATTGTGCAAAATACTGATAATTTGTGTAGTTAAAGATTCTAGTCTAGAGTCATGCTTGGGCGCAAAATAACTGGCCTACTCCACCGGAGTTATACCACGTCCTCATACAAATACGGCGTTGAACCATTGATTTCACATCTAGTGTGGTGACGGATTAAGAATATGGAATGTTACCACCCCTATTCATCCCGTAGGAGTCGTAAGAGCCGACTAAGGGAACAAACTGCACAAGACAATAGCACTACTAAAAGAAGGAAAACTTGAAACAAACCCTATACCATCCCGTCTGGCCAGCGTGGTATAGTAGGCCAAAAGCTCCTTTCTAAGGAGAGGCCTATGTCCAGCAGTGGACTATTACAGGCTGTTGATGATGATGATGATGAATAATACTGACTCCACACATCTCCTTGCAGTATAGCATCAGTGATGAAACAATCCGGCTGCGAGGTGCCTGAGTACATGCTCCAGCTGAAACAAAACCCCAATAAGCGTAAGAAACTTATGAAGAAGGCGCCTAACCGCGACAAGATCTCCACCATTTTGGATAAAAGGAATAATAAGTAAGCAAGTTCATCTACTTTTTTTTTTTTTTTCTTAACGTGTGGAAATCCCCTCGGACCGTCACCCCACCGGGGTTTGCGGCGGGGTGGTGTGTCGGACTCGGACCGACTAAAACCACACGGTGTGCCACTCTGCGCCTGTAACAGGAGGGAAAGTCAATCAACCAAAGTCAACCTCCTTTCTAAGGAGAGGCTTATGTCCAGCAGTGGACTATTATAGGCTGTTGATGTGAAGTCAATAGTTAGTGTACTAAACATTTCACGTTTACAAATTACTGAATTATAATGTCCTGTGGTCTAGTGGTTAGTGAACCTGACTGCTAAGCTGAGGTCGTGGATTCGATTCCAAACCAGGACAAATATTTGTGATGATCATTTGTTCTCCGTATTGGTGTAAATTTATCTAATTGTATTTGTATTTATTTAATATTAATAATAAAATTCCACTACTATTCCCACACTAAGCAGAGCTTGTACTATTGGTGCTAGGCAACTGATATAAATACATATATACTTTTTTTGTAAATACATACATATTATACATAAAAACCAGACCAAATCAAACATTAAATGTACATGCATACAAATGTTTGACTTGAGCGGAAATCGAACCCCTAACCTTTGTAATAACAGTCCGTTACACAAACCACTACGCCATCAAGTCGTCGGATTTAGAAATATATAAGTATGTTTATCAGCAGTCTGGTTACCATAGTACAGGCTCTGCCTAGTTTGGGATCAGACGGCCGTGTGTGAGATGTGTCAAAATATTATGAACACTTACTTTTTATACTAATAATAATTTATTTTTATATTTACAGAAGAAAACTAGATACTTCAAAAGAATCAGCAGAAACGGAGAAAACAAAAGCAACAGAATCTGTAAAAAATAGTAAAAACAATAAACAAAGAAGACTTCAAAATGGCAATCACAAGCCGCAACCTAAGAATGGACTTAAGAAGGAAAATATTAAGAAGAGAAGAAAGAAGAATTTAGGAAATAAAAATATTAAAAATAAGTGAATATATTTTATATATCAGAATATATTGTTTTTTTTTTATTTATTCAATTACTAAAAATTATTGTTATTGTGTTAAAAAATTAAATAGTTTTCATTATTATCCAAACCCAACCCATCCGTGTAGAGATGGATTAAGAATACGGAGTGTCACCACCCCTATTCATCCCGTGGGTGTCGTAAGAGCCCACTAAGGGAGCAAACAACGCAAGACAACATCACTGCAAAGAGAAGGAAAACTTGAAACAAACCCCATACCAACCCGTCTGCCTACCGTGGTATAGTAGGCCAAAACCTTTCTAAGGAGAAGGATAGCCTTCTCCGCAGTGGACTATTAATGGCTGTTGATGATGATTAGCCAAGTAAAGCCATTTTTTTATAGTTTATAGTTTTAAGCGATAGGGGTCAATCTATCAGCCTGGTCATCTAATGGTAAGTGAGTACCACCACCCATGGCTACTTGCAAGTAATTCACAAGTAAGTTGCTGCTCTATGAGTCCCCCTCCCTAAAATTAGGAGGAGGTAGAGTTGCGGAGGGGAAAAGCACCGGAAGAGTGCTAAGCATCGGTTTTCTGGGAGGTCCTGGGATCACTCTGGTCAAGCCTGACCCATTTGTGACGATTATTGTTCTCCCACGGTAAAAAAGAAAGAAAAAAACGCCATAATTATTATAACATCTATTATAAAATTCTCATACAAAATATACAGTCTTCACATTGTAGTTCATACAAAAATACTTATCTTTACTTATAAATATTTCTATAAATATACATTTTTGACAGTTACTTTTGCTTGTAATGTAATCTTTTTGTTTTTTTTTTTACTTTTTGCTTTTTACTTCGGGAATTTAAATCTTATTAATTTTATTGACATTTACAAATATAATAAATAAAAAAGGATCTTATGTGTAGGTCTAGAAGGCTCTGATTTCTGCGGAGACTGAGTTATATATATGTATGGACCTAGTCGATCTATTGTCATTTTTTATAAAAGACAGCTCCCGCGCTAGGATATATCCTGCGTCGCGGGGGACTTTACAAACATACATGAAACGGACACAAAGAACACCCAGACTCAGAACAACAATTTGTGGATCATACAAAGTGTGTGGCATCTCAAGTCACGAGTGAATTGCTGGCCTTTGAGGTTAGGAGGACTCTACATCACAAACAGTGGATGTTTATTAAATAGTAATACAAAAATTGCACTTTTTGGGGATTTATTACCACCATAGACCTGACTATGGTGGTATTAAATCCCCAAAAAGTGCATTTTGTTTATGATAAAAAATCTTTATAAACCTTCATAAAGACTTTTTGATATTACATTAACATTACATTACAAGCAAGAATTACAGAACAGATTTTCTTATAAAATATTTTCAGCCAATCTAAATCATATGGCACTGATTTTCAAAATAATCCTTATAAAAAGCCTCGATATACGTGTTTTATCAAAAATGGTCCTTAATTAAGATTAAGCCTCTGTAAATGGCCGGTTTAAGATTATGCTAACTAAGGAAAATATTTTGCTGCAACAATGTAATGTTAATTCAGTTTACCTACGACTTAAATCGACACAGTTTTAAAAGATTCATGATTTAAAAAAAACGGCAAGAGATGTTTAAAAAAGTAAAGAAAAATACAAGTATATTGATAAAATTAATTTGGAGATCTCCGAGTGATTCAAAAGATTTTTATAACAGTAATAAAATATAAAAATAGTCATCCAAAAAATATTATGTACAGTTTTGAAAGTTTGATTTTTATGTGTGTACTTACTTAAATTTAGAATAGATTTATTTATACACTTACATAACTTATTATTCTTTACTTGTAAAATCTCATTTAGAAAATGACTTAAAATATATATCATTTACGAATTTCTCGTAACAGCAATGATTTAGGTGGGACTAAAGTTTTATTACTGCAAAAGCATTTCTTCATAAACAAAATATACAAATCTTAGCTTCACAAATATTCGCATCAATTCGGACAGTGTCCCAGCAACTAGATAAAAAATAAATTTTACAACTGGCAATTTAAAATTGCAAGATATTAATTTACAAACTATTAGCAACCATCATAAATCAGTAACAATAAAAAAAGACTAATTTTATTACTCGCAACCAGGAAAACATTTTTTTGAAACATTAATTAATGAATGTTCAAATATTTTTGTTTACTGGCAACCAACGACAATTAAGGCGTCACCATAGTGATATAAGCATAGAGAGAATACGGGGTACAGCTACCTGTGAGTGGAAGCAATACGAGATGTATTAACGATAGTTCTTTCTGTCTCTGTGAAGTGGGCATATTTTTGATCGTACTGGCTGGCGAATTAGAAATTTCCCAGCTAACCTCAGAGCTCGACTAGAAAGAGAAAGAGGGAATTATCTATTGTCCATCTCTCTCGTTGCCTATATTAGAAGATTTCAGGCTCTTGTTCACTCTATGCTTATATCTGTATGGGCGTTACAGAAACAGTGACAGTTGACAGCATAGAAATATAAGAATAAAGCAAGCCAAAAGCGTGATACCAGGTGCGAGGGAGTAAGCTTCCGCGAGGCCCCCTCTTGCTGTCTCTCTCCAATCCATAAAGAGCACTGCGCTGCTGATGCTCGCCATATTAGAAAAAGACAGCAACTGCTGCAACGGCAGCCTTCTCTCTCGCACCTGGCATCACTGCAGAGTACAGGGCTAGGTGGAGATAGCTTGCTCTATTCTTATATCTCAATTGTTGACAGTGTCTATGTCACACAGCTCTTTTTGACATTGTTAAATAAACTATATAAACAACCAGAGTCTACTCGCATAACCAATCACAAGGCAACCTCGGCATCTTATTAGCTGGCCAGGGCAGATACCCCGCAGTCTTGAACACCCAATAGTCATAAGACACTTTGCTAATTAATAAAACTAATATTAGTACTTCGATTCCTATAATATAGTATATGTAGTCAGTCCAGTCCCGAGGGGTGTGGCACACGTTGCTCTCCACCAGCTCCACCACTGGAGTGCCGTCTTCGCATTCCAGCATTTTGTAGTCAGGAATGTTTTTTAAGTTTTCAAGGAGCCAAGGCTTCAAATTAAAAAAAAAAAGTTATTGACAGCTGTCAAAATGATAACAAATAAACAAAATATTTTAATTATTGTGGCATTCTTGAACGTTAGTTTTTTTCAGAATGAAAGCTATTTTATGTCCCTTTCTGGATTCCCGGTAGTGGAGGAGGACACATTGAAGTTAATTTCTTTATCGGAGGGCAAACAAAATATGAATGATAACACAATAGCAGTACTAATAAGGAAACGTACACATACCACGTGACCCACTCAGGGGGAAAGGGGCTTTTAAATACAACGCTTGGTCAGGAGAGATTTTCGTTACGTAGTCTTATATCTCCAATATTTATTTATTGCCACACACACCTATATACGTTTTTACAGGTATTTAAAATAATATTTCTGAAGTACTACGTGAAAGCTAGAGAGGTGGGGTCTTGGTATATACTACGGGTGGTCAACCGGGGGTCACGTAGTATAGGTACGGACCCTAAAGTGATTTGAACTTTGTTCAAAGTACCTTCAACATTTTCTCAGTGTTGCAGTCACAGTGTATTATGTTCCCGGCTATGGAGAACGTCGGGCCGCTTGTATCGAAACGATTCGACAACACGTACGTGTGGATCTGAAACATTTATATCAATACGTATTTATGTAAATTAAGTAGACACTTTTAAGGAACAGCGCAAAGCCGAGTTAGATCCGAAGCACGATCCCAAACATCTCCGATCGGCTCGATCCCTTGGCGTTACGTAGAGATGTGGCTTCACTTTGCATTCTCTATTGCATATATCATGGAGAGTACTCCGAGGAATTGTTCGGACTAATACCAGCCGCAAATTGCCGCCTTATTCCACAAGGCAAAATTTTCATCCTCATTACCTGGATAGTTGGCGCTCCACTACTGTGCGCTTTTCGAGACACTTTTTGCCGCACAACCAATCTGTGGAACGGGTTATCGTCTGCGGTATTTCCGGACCAATACGACCTTCAAACCTTCAAGAAAAGAGCGTACTCCTTCCTAAAAGGCCGGCAACGGTTTCCTAAAATTTCGGATATGTTGGCGTACCTACATTTAAACAAAGTTGGCTACTCCAGTCATCTAAGGGCACATGACAGGACTAATTATCCTAGCCCTCCAATAAAATAGGTAAGGCTATCTACGCTTAAACCAAATGGTCTGCTTAAATAAATACGGTTCCTAGTGCAATATAAAATTCAAATTCCGAATTTGCCGAAAAAAAAAGGTTACCCCCGTCATGACTTAATAATGCCTAATTTCCTTTGTAATGTAATGTCTCCGTATTAGGAGCCTTTATCTTACTGGGTAATTAATAGTAACACAATAATAGTCATTTTAATAAAAGAAAAAAAATACATCAATTTTAACAACAATTTTAGATATGCATGTGTACATGTATATCTAAAATTGTAAATATTTCAACAGTTTTTAAAATTTAGAAAATAAATAAGGGCTAACACACACCAATGTCTTCGTGATATAGGGATACACACTCCTTATATTTATAACACAGTGTTTCACTAATGCAGTCATTATCAAACACATTTGAAATATTGTTAATCTGTGTTTTTAGTTTTAAATAAAGATTTTTTATTATTTATTATTATTTTAGAAAGACAACTCCAGAACTAGGAATATATCCAGTGTCGCGGGGACTTTACTAAAAGTCATCAAACGGAAAGACTCAGAACTATAATTTGTGGATCACACAAAGTGTTGGCCCATGTGGGGATCGAATCCACAACACTCAGCTCACTAGATTTCTTTTCTTTCTTTTTTCTTTAAAAGAACAACTCCCGCACTAAGAATATATCCTGCGTGTAAGGGACTTTTTTTTTTTATTATACCACATTCACACATCACCATCTAGTAGTCCCAAACTAAGCAGAGCTCGTACTATGGCTACTAGACAACTGATATAAATACATATATACTTTTTTTTTGTAAATACATACTTATTATACATAGAAACACCCAGACCAAATCAAACATTAAATGTTCATGCACACAAATGTTTGGAATAGCAGTCCGTTCACAAACCACTACGCCATACGTCGTCTAATTAGTACTTTACAAACATACATTTAAAAAACCAGTGAAGTGGAACCTAAAACGCAGCAGCAGTGTGCAGTCGGCAGTACTTACAGTCTTCAACTTATTATAGCCGATGGAGAATAAGATAAAGTTGTCTATAAACTTGGTCCCCTCCAGCTCCAAGATGCTGGCTATGTCGTTGTAATCCACGATCAGGTGTCGTAAATGGTCGTAGGAAGGATCGTTCACGGTCTGGAGTGATGTGATCTGCAAAGTCACATATAATACAATAGTAATGACAAATTAGGCAGAGCCCAGGCCCCTTTATCCCACTGGGCGCACTCTACTGATCGAGGGGCCCCCTAATTCCTGTCAGATAACCAATCGATATTCGATATTTATTACCGAAAACCATATTTATTCCGGAAAATCTGACTGACTGACTCTACTCTACTCTACTACTCGTATTTTTTTTTATTCTAACAGAATAGTAATCAGTCAAGGTCGTTCGATCGTCAAGTAACGAAGTGATGATGTTTTTAGGGTTCCGTACCTCAAAAGGTAAAAAAGGAACCCTTATAAGATCACTTTCTTGTCCGTCTGTCACACACACACACACACACAGGGTACACCTATCAAGTTGAAATTTATACCAGAAACTGAGGTCTATGGTCCCTGTTAGGTGTATAAAAATCAAGGTCCTGAATCAACACGATAAAAAGATATGGGCAAATTTCGATTTTCGCGAACACTTGTAAGTACCAAAATTTACCTTAATTTTCAACTTTTTTTATTTTTCACAATTTTCTCTTGTGCTGTAAGGCCTTGCTTTTAACCAAAATTGACAATTCTAGGTCAACCGGAAGTACCCTATAGGTTTTGGGTCGAAAACCTGTATGGTAGTTCCCGTTGACCTAGAATCACGAAATTTGGCAAAAAGAAACGTCTTACAGCACAAATAAAGGAATAATTCCAAAAAATAAAAAAGTTAAATCTTGGAACTTACAAATTTTCGCGAAAATCTACGTAAAATTTGGGTAGGTACGGAACTGTCGGCGCACGAGTTCGACACGTACCTGACCGTTTTTTTTTGTTTTATTAAATATTTACACCTACATTATTATAAGATACATTAAGCTTGATGGTGTTCAGAGGCAGCTCGGTGGGCATCTCCGTCAGGTTTCGATGGGAGCAGTCTACCGCCACGGCGTTCGTCAGGTCAGCGCCCTGGAACTCCAACCGCGTGGGCATACATGTGCAGTTTATGTTGGCCGGCTTGATGTTGCGGCATGACGCGTTCACCTGCATCAAATAGACCACACTCAGATATGTTCCTAGAAAGATTGGAGATAATTTATGTTTGTGGCGACTTACATACACTAACTACTTAAATAAACTTTAATAATTACTAATTAAATCAATCAGGAATGAGGTGATCTGGCAGAGAACTCAGGTCACCGACATATCCTACTGGATCAGCTAGCTGAAGTGGCAGTGGGCTGGCCATATTAGTCGCAGAACCGACAACCGCTGGGGAAAACGAGTTCTTGAGTGGAGGTCTGTAAGGCCGTGGTGTCACTCCAGTTGAGCCACGATATAAAGTATTTCTATCTAAAGTGGTACCTACCTCTTTCTGCTTTTTAAGATGTTCAATTTGGACGATCCGCAAATCTCTGAACCAGTTAAAGTTGATATCTAAAGCGCAGTAAGTGTTCTCGTAGTTCAGGAATGTTAGTAATGAGCTATTGTTTGTGTCCATTGCTCTTTGGAAATGCTTGCAGGGAAGATAATGGTTGCCTGAAAAGATATAAAAATACATGTAATTACTAGCTGACTGCCTGGCTGATGACTGCACGGATGGCGTAGCGGTTTAAGTGGCCGCTTACTACTACGCTGAGTGTTGTGGGTCCGATCCTCACATGGGACGACACTTTGTGTGATCCACAAATTGTTGTTCTGAGGCTGGGTGTTGTTTGTGTCCGTTTCATGTATGTTTGTAAATTCCCACGCGACACAGGTTATGTTCCTAATGCGGGAGTCGTCTTTTAAAAAGGAGAAAAGAAAGAGAAAGAGCTGTACCCTGTCCCGCTTCGCTGTAGCACATTATGGTTGCATTGATGAGAAATGAGAAGAAAATAAAGTAGAAACAATCTTTGAAGCGGTTTTCATATCGTATCAAAATTAGAGCTCCATCGGTGCAGAACTTTTTGAGTTTTTGAAGCGTACACAAACCTACATAATATTTTTAAATATAATAGTTCATAATGACAAACTAATTTAAAAAAAAAAACCTGACAGCGTAAAATTTACAAACAGTCGATTAAAATTTTTATAATTTTCAAATACCCAGTGTCACTCTTACAATTAAGACGAATGTAGCGACACCTTAAACACCAAAATCCATCAAGCCGTTGAGGCCACAGAGCACGCCAAAGAAATATTTATACATAAACTCCTAAAACATAACTCTCCTTCTGGTACAATCGCATAAAACACAATAACTCTCCTTCTGGCACAGTCGCGTAAAACGGATAACACAAAAGTTTATTGTAATTTACAAAAGCGTTTTGGACTTTACAAAACATGCTTCAAAGCCATCTCACTAAGACACATCGAACTACGAAATAACTACAACTTCTGCATCACGCAATAATAGTTCGCTCATCAATTCGTATGTATGCCGTGGGCATATCAAATAACTTATCATTTCATGATTTGGTCGACCATTTAATGATATTGTTGACTGTTTTATAAAATGTTCTTGTTTCAGGAAATGGTCATATTTCGTGGGTCGTTGATCTTGACCAATATCGGTTAGGCTACATGATGGCTGGAGCTTCTATGCCGTCTGTATGGACAGGCCGACTCAAAACTATGGTCCTTTCTTCAAAAGGCCTACCCGAACCCTATACTGTACTCGCACAATTTTATTTGACTTTGTTTATGGACTTAAAAAAAAGACACCTCTGTGGTTTGTTTCGGCGTTTCTTCCCAGAGTGAGTCTTAGGAAATGCCGGCTCCTTCTAGCTATAAAGTCCGACTTGTAAAAACATCTGAAAAGATTTACTTACAGAAATAAATATCATTTATCATTTATTTATTTCAAGAAATAGTAAAAAAATAGTAATCATATCGTAAAACAGTTACATTGACCACAGTTACAGGCGCTGTCATCTTTTTATGTTTTTGATACATGGCGGTAGACGAAAATATTTAGTTTTCATAGCGAGTAATAATTATTATAATTAGCAAATAAAAGAAAAAAGCGTAGTGACATGTCGTTACGTCAACTTCAGAGAGTAATATACTGGTATTTAGGTTTTTTCTTTTCTTTAAAATTCTTGTGTCGCGGCGAACTTTACAGGCCCTTACCTTACCCATACTCAAAACAACTATTTGTGGATCACACAAAGTGTTGTCTCATGATGGGATCGAACCTTGACACAGCGCAGTAAGAAGGAATTTTATTCTCTATGACACTAAATTTACAAACTAAGGTATACACAATTGGCAATTAAAAGAGGGTAGGTGTGAACACTTTGTAACTATACGGATTAATACACGGATAGCGAGCGTAGTTTACCTATACAGTTTTCATCGTATTCGGGCCTTATTCGGGTCCGTGTGGTGACGGATTAAGAATACAGAGTGTCACCACCCCTATTCATCCCGTGGGTGTCGTAAGAGCCGACTAAGGGAAAAAACTAAGCAGGGCAACAGCACTGCAGAGAGAAGGAAAACTTGACACAAACCCTTTACCAACCCAGCGTGGTATAGTAGGCCAAAACCTCCTTTCTCAGGAGAGGCTTATGTCCAGCAGTGGACTATTAAAGGCTGATGATGATGATGTTTTCATGGTTTTTGCTTCTTTTATATTTTTAGGCACATTATTGTAAATTTTTGCACTGCCGTACATGATATTTTTTTTCGAATTCATCATTAGAATTTTTTAAGCTTGTTTTGTGCTATTTGTAAGCACAAGGGCAAGGTTTGTTGGGGCCGCTGTGCCCCATATTTCTATTAAATAGTCTAAATGTGGTTTAATTAGAGAATTGTATATCAGGTACCGTACCTACTTGAGGTGGGAGAGATTTCCTCACATCACACATCATCAACAGCCTTTAATAGTCCACTGCAGGACATAGGCCTCTTCTTAGGAAGGAGATGTCGGCCTACTATACCACCCTGGCTAGACGGGTTGATATAGAGTTTGTTTTGAGTTTTCCTACTCTTTGTAGTACTGTTGTTCTGTGTAGTTTACTCCTTGTGATGACACTCTGTATGCTTAATCCGTCATCACACAGACAACATTTTATTATATTTTTTAACACACCTGTGAGAGCTGTTAACTTTTTTTTATTTCATTTTTGGTTTCCACGTCAAGTGATTATCTCAAATTAAGCCTAGGTACTTCCTTATTATTATTATTATCTACTTTAGTAATAGTTTTATTGTTTAGTAAGAGGTCTATGTTGCGATATCTTTTTATTTTTTGCCGAAAATATGATGTAATTTGTTTTGGTTATGATTATAGTTAACAGGTTTTATTGAAACCAGCTATTCAATCAATTTAAATCTGCCTGTGCAATACTATTATTGTGTCAGTTGAGTTACCGAAATAAAATAAACGTGTATCATCGGCATAAAGTGTGATGTCACCATTCAATCCGATTTTATGTATACTATTTATATAGATGAGAAATAGGGTCCTAAGACGGATCCTGCGGTATACCGCAAGTCACTTTTGAGTATCATCTGCCTACCCCTATGCAAATTTCATTTGGAGTATGATTCTTCCATTATACTCTATCATGCGTCGTATCACTGTTTACTCCCTTCCTAACCATATCTTCACTCACACAGTCCATCCACCTTTTCTTTGGTCTTCCCCTTCTCTTGTACCCTTCAACTCCCATACCTAAAACTTTTTTCGCCACATTTTCCTCATTCGTTCCCATGACATGTCCATACCAAGATTACCTATTACTTCTTAACTTTTCATCCAGTGGCGCTACTTTCAGACTCCCTCGTATATGTATACTCATTCCTAACCTTGTCCATCCGAGTCAGACCAAACATCCATCTCAGCATTCGCATTTCTGCTACGTTCAGGCGTCTCTCACCCGGTCTCTTAGTGGGCCAACTCTCAGAACAATTTAGGAGGTAGCAGGTCTGATAATATTTTTATAAATTTGTCCCTTCAGTGTTAAGGGGAAACTGGATTCAGAAATTGTTCCCGTTACCTGGTACTTGACATTGGAGCAGACTAGTATCGCTATCCCATCCAGCGAAATGGTTTCAGAACTGGAGAGACCGCCGAAAGCGCAGAACATGATAACACACACATTAATTGATATGATCAGATCATCGATCGTTGGGCGCCGGCTCGCCAGCCCTGGGCGCTCGGGGGTGGTCGAAGGATCCCTTTATGTTGCAGTGGCATAATACCCGTTTCTCTACACATTTTTATATGTTGCACGTATTCAAAGAACACAATATAACCTATTTTTATCGTGCGTTTTGTGACCCCATCAATCTCTCCATAAAACCTCTAGGATTTGGTAGTACTGTCATGAAGGTGGACAGAGCAGTGCTTATAAAAGCAATTAAATTTGCGGGTAGGTGTGATTTTAGATTCATCATCATCATAATCAACAGCATTTAGTTTACTGCTGGACATAGGCGTTTCTTTAGAAAGGACGTTTTGGCCTACTATACCACGCTGGCCAGACGGGTTGGTACAGGGTTTCAAGTTTTCCTGCTCTTTGCAGTGCTGTTGTCCCGCGTAGGTTGCTCCCTTAGTCGGCTGTTACTACACCCACGGGGTGAATAGGGATGGTGACACTCCGTATTCTTAATCCGTCACCACACCACTACAATTTAAATAACTTACCAGAGAAATCCACAGATATCTTCCGGTTGCTGTGGACGAGGCTCAAAGGGAATTCCGTCAGGTTGTTGGCAGAAGCATCCAGCACGCTCATATTGAAGAGGTACGCGAATGGACGCTGGATTGAAGGCTGTAGCTTGTTCGTTGTTAAATTGTTGTTTGATATGTTTAGACAGGCTATTGATGAGTACTTTGGAAATTTACCTAGAATGTGAAAGAAGTACGAAAATTTTGAAAATGGCTGACTTAAGAGTAACAGATGAAGCTACTATTATATTTGTTTATTTTATGGAAGGTCGTAGGGTCAAAGGGTCAAAGGAGCAGACGGTTATCTAATTTTAAGTGCATACCGCCACACATGGACACCTGCAACTCAGGGGTTACAAGTGCTTTAAGTCCTTCTCCCATTAAAATTAGAGAGGGGGGTGAGTTGAGTCTCTATTTTATGTAGATACTATCTTTTTTCCCTCAGCTCTGCCTGCGTGTATAACTGTATCGCGGTAAATAGTAGAGTATATCCTTAATCAAGAATCAAATTATCTCCATACCAAATTTCATCTAAATCGGTTGAGCGGTTATTGATTCCCCATACAAACGTCCGCCCCTCTCCTTGTCACCCCCTTAAATGATGATTTTTTTATAAAAACTATCCTATGTCTTTTCCCCGGACTCAAACTATCTCCATATCAAAGTTCATCTAAATCTTTTGCATTTTTAATATTGGTATGGATGAACTTACACAATCTTAAGGTTTATATTACTTTAATACTTACTATGTTTTTCATTATTCCTCTCTCGCCATACTATGTGTTGCAAGAATAATTAAAATAATTAGCTTTATAATTTGTAGTATTATTAGAATGACTAATATCTACACTTATGTGCATAACTGTTATTTTATTAGGTAACTGAGTATTTATAATGATCAATTGCAATGTTTATAACTTTTTATGTGTCTATGCTTTTATTTGTTCCTGGCAACATTGAAAAATAAAAAAATCAACGACAATTTTGGTTTATACTAAAAATACCACCTACATAATTTGTTATTATTATCACATTAGTCCTAGTCCCAGTTTCAGTCCAGACGTAAAAAAATATACTAGTGATTGGGGCCAACAACAGAACAGAAGCGTTGTCTGTTGTATTGTTGTATCTGCCCACATAAATATATTAATAATATCCTAGAAAAGATCACCACTAGTGATATCGAAAACCGATAAAAATGTTTATCCATGAATACACATACAAAAGCAAATATCTGGAACTACACAGCGCTATCTGGACCCAAAATATTATGTTTATAGAACACGTACAAACATACTAAGATACATTTTTTGTAAATACATACATATTACTCATGACATGATATTTGTACTGAGATGGAATCAAACCCATGGTCTTGCAGTCGAATTATCGACAACTACACTTAGAATAGTTACTATTATAAGCAACATATGCTGGATAGGACCCAAAAATAGTAAATAACAAAATGGTAACAAAAGAGGTTATAATATCAGTTACAATATCAATAATCGTTCATAAAAAGAAATAAGAATTCTTACCAACGATATTCCCAATAGATCCATCAGTGAAGGCCATGGAAGACAGCCGTCTGAACAAGGACTGGGAGATGTCCAGTTCATCAATAGTAGCGTTCAAGACATGGAGGTAGGTAGTATTTTGAGTAACTGGAAACAAAAGAAATAATTAAAAGACGTTGTGTGGTGTCGAATCAAGAAGTCTGTGTGGTGACGGGTTAAGAATACGGAGTGTCACCAGTCCTATTCTTCCCGTGGGTGTCGTAAAGAGCCTCCTCCTCCAAGAAAACCTCCTTTCTAAGGAGAGTCATATGTCCAGCAGTAGACAAATTTAGGCTGTTGATGAAAAGACGTTGGGTATATAATTCGACGGGGCTGTTGGTCTAGTGGTTAGTAACCCTGACAGCTAAGCCAAAGGACGTGGGTTCGATTTCCACCCAGGATAAATAATTGTGTGATGAACATAGTCATTTGTTTTGTCTGGGTGTAATTTATCTATAATATGAATGTATTCAGAAATATATTTATTTGTATGTTTAACAGCAGTCTGGTTACCATAGTATAAGCTCTGCCTAGTTTGAAATCAGACGGCCGTGTGTGAGATGTGTAAGAAAAAAAAAGGTATATACAATGTTTCGAATATTTAAGTATAGTCTTACAAAAGGAACAAAGACGTTACTAAGTGGTATCCAAGGCAAAGGTGAGAGGTTTACATAAATAGAATAGCAGGCATTACATGGAGAACGAAGACACAAGACCGCATTTTATAGTAAGGTTTAGGGGAGGCCTATGCTGGTTAGTAAGACTGGTGTCATATAACTTAAATATAATACTTAGGATAATAATAAATAATAATAATATAATATTCTACCACATTCATACAACGCCATCTAGTCCCAAACTGAGCAGAGCTTGTACTATGGCTACTAGACAATAAATACATTATATACTTTTTTTTTGTAAATACATACATATTATACTTAGAAACACCCAGACCAAATCAAACATTAAACGTCATGTACAAAAATGTGTGACTTGATCGGGAAGCGAACACGCGACCTTTGGAATAGCAGTCCGTTACACAAACCAATACGTTATCCGGTCGTAGGATATTCCAATATGTACTTATTATGTAAGATTGTTGAATAAAGGCTATTGTTATTACTATGGTATTATTGGCTTGCTTGTGCTTATTTCTACTATTTTCGAGTCACTCTTTCTAACAGGGTTGAGATACTCTTAACCGTGGGAGAACTGGGCGAGTCACGTTCCTCACGTACCTATGGGCCGATTCGACCGCATTGATACTCTGGCCTCAAAGTAAACCAGTGTTAAGCAATTCTGTGGTTGATTTTCACTGTTGGAGTGAGGATACAGGCGCTCTCAAATCATCAGCAGTCCACTCTCCTTAGAAAGAAGGTTTGGCCTACTATACCACACTGCCAGGCGGGGTTTCAAGTTTTCCTTCTCTTTGAAGTGCTGTTGTCGTAGTTCGCTCTCTGAGTCGGCCAAAACTCCCAGCCAAATTCTAACTTGGGGGTTCTTGTGTCTTTTAAGTGTATAGGCGCCAGGTGACCCGTTTCTGCGTTTGCCGCCGATGCCATAAGTAACTACCTTATGGAGATACCCAATAAGGTAAATATGTGTCGTCATAATTATTTATATCTGAACAGAGCTCAGTAACAAATGATAAACTGTGACCGGCCTTTAGTCTTCTTTATCTAATAAAGTAAGTGTTCTTTATCTAACAAGATAATTGTGAGTTCTTTGTAAGTCTAATAATTAACTTTAAGACGGAAAGTATAATTTATGAAACTATAAACATTTACACAGGGTGCTCTGTTTTTAAACTAGGCAGACTTTGTGTCGCAGGGGACTTCACAAGCATGCATGAAATGGACACAAAGAACACCCAGACTCAGAACGACAATTTGTGGATCACACAAAGCATGTCCCACGATCTCTGGCTTAGCCGAGACGAGACCAGCAGCCCCGTTTTACGTAGGAGTGAAATATCCTCTGCTTATTTTAAACGTGTCCTTATGACCTAGTACTGACCTACTCTTCACTTTTCGTTTATGAATCTCTCTTCTCTCTCTGTCTAGTCTGACCGTCTTAGATGCTACTAAATACATGAAGTCATTGTTTTGTTCACGTTGAAATCTTCAGCAAGATAAAGTTTTTGAGTGACAGATTTTGAGTGTAAAGAAAATAAAACTGCACTTACTGGCAGATGCCAGGGCTTCCTTCAACCTGGCATTGTCAAGGTCACAGCAAAACACGGCCAAGCTGCCCACTTTCGTACATTCAGTTTCATCAGGACATAATGACCGCGGCATGTGGAAACATTTTCCCATATTCAGGTACTCGGTGCTGGGTTCTGGTTTTGGTGTTGATGCAGGCGGTTGCTAGAAGACAAAAATTACAGGTAATAAATAAAAAACTGGAAGAAAAAGAATTGTTGAAGAGATCGTCCAGCCGTTCTATGTAACAGATTATGATAGAGCATTTTTTTTTAATGTTAGCGGGGGCAGACGAGCAGGCGGGTCTCCTGATGGATGTTGATGTATAACTGTACTCTTAGGTACTATTTTTTTTTTAATTTGTTGGGCATTTTTGAACAACAAACAAAAGAATATAATTTTTGTGATGAGTTTTTTATTTATTTGGGTACTAGGAACCGAAATTACTAGTATTCCCGCTAACTACTAGGCTACCGCCCCCATTGCACTCGCGACACTGTTACCGTTACCGACACCTCTGTATATAAGTATCTACATATTTTGGATAATATAACTATATATAATATACCTGAACATATATTGTGTATATACGTACAACATAGATATATATTCATGTCGGCACTTTGAAAACAAAAAAAAAACAAAAAATAAAAAAACCTGTTTTAATAAAAAAATAAGTTTTCACTTCTGTCGGTACTCCCGGAGTACCACCGTTTTTTTTTGTCCCTCTCTAACTGCGTGGGGCTAATTAGCCATTTGGTAACCTCACTTACTTCTTTCGATGCTGTCACCGAACTCCAAAACACCGAACAAGTGACATTAGGGGTCATCCATAAATAATGTCACACGAATTTCATTAGTTTTTGACCCCCATCCCCATTGTCATAGCTAGTCACATTAAACGCCCTCCCCCCTAGTGTGACATCACATATTTTCCAATTTTACATCTAGAAATTATTAAAACTAACTTTGGAACTGCTATTTTATATCAGCATTTTTTACAAAATCAACATCAAATGAATTTTTTTTAAAATATAAAAAGATAAAAAAGTAATTAATTGTATAATACTGCAAATACTTTAATTTTTTTCATTTTGAACCTTAGATATATTAGGTTTTGAAACATAACGTCACAAATCTTAGTACCCCTCCCACACCCTGTTACACAACTCCTCTCAAACGGCGCTAACGCACTTGTGGCTTAAGTTGCAGGTCTTCAACGGCAGCGGTACTCACTTACCACCAGGTGGCTAGTCCGCTTGTTTGCTCCTAATCATAAACAAATATCGAGAAAAATATTGCACAGTCTTACCTCCCTGGGTGCTGGATGCTCCAGCTCATCAACTCTCATCTCGATGTATGGCACGTGAAGTAACAAATACACCACTGCGGCCCATAGTGAAGCCTGTTGACAACAGTTACATGTTAGCCATCTGAGTAACCATTTTTGTGACTATTTAAAAAGTAAAAATGGACACAAAGAAAGGCCTTTATTCATGAGTCGGCGTGGCTAGCCTTAGGGGTATCCATAAGTACAGGGGGGGGTCGTCTACACGCCGTAGATGGCCCGAGGTACGTACCAGGGTACCAGGGATTTCCTTTCCAGGGTACAGCTGGTTCCCCGACTGCTGGTACCTCAGACGGCGTGCGGTTTTAGTCGGTTCGAGTCCGATATGCCACCGGTAAGTGGTATCCGAGGGGATTTCCACACAGAAATAGGGGTATCCATAAGTTACGTCACACGAATTTCATGTTTTTTTTTATCCTCACCTCTCCTCACAGCTGGTCATGTTTCTGAACCCCACTCCCTTGTGTGACGTAACATATTTTACATCTGGAAATTAACACAGATCCTAAAATTGGTTTTCGTCTCGTTTAAATATTTTTTTAATATTTTCAACATGAAATTAAATACGTAATAAGTTTATAAAAATGAACATTAAATCATTTTTTTTAAATAAAATCAGAAAATAATAAATTATTTATTTTAGGTTTTAAATGTGACGTCACGAAGCTTAGGACATGTTTGTCACACAATGTCACAATTCGTTCGTTGACCCCTTATTTTGTTTGTTTGTTGAGTTTGTTTGTTACGCTTTCACTCCTAAACCACTAAACCGATTTAAAAAATTATTTTACCAATGGTAAGCTTCATTATCAGCGAGTAACATAGGCCAATTTTTACGCGATATCCGACACAAGTCGCGGGCAAAAACTATTATAAAATGTTATTAAGTATCCCCTTACTGCTAGCTTGAAATAATATTGACCAACAAATATTTCAATAAAGAAACGATAAGAATAAATTGTTAGGTAAACAAAGAGGTAAACAACTATGTGGGATTGTCATAAAATGCGATGTCTCAGTTTTATTGAACACATACATACATATATTATGCAAATAAGCAGTTACGCGTGAATCATTGCGCCACGTTTCTACGTTTTAATCTTATTCTTTGCTAGCTGACCCGCGCAACTTCGTCTGCGTCTCTCAACAGTAATAAATTTTCTCCGTTTTTGAAACATTCTTCATTGGTGCTCCGCTCCTATTGGTCTTAGCGTGATGATATGTAGCCTATAGCCTTCCTCGATAAATGGGCTATCTAACACTGAAATAATTTTTCAAATCGGTCCAGTAGTTCCTGAGGTTAGCGCGTTCAAACAAACAAACAAACTCTTCAGCTTTATAATATTAGTATAGATAAATATTCTTAACTCTATGCGTGGTTTTACTCTATGACGGCATGCAGTTAAGGATCCAAGCCAAAACTATTATAACTTTCATATCGACGAATCTAACGACACTTAAAACGCTATCGTCCACCAAGCCGTTTAGGCTACAGAACGAGCCAAAAAAATATTGTAAATAGATACATACATTCGAAATACATAACCTCTGTTACCAGCTGTACCCTACCACGTTCCGCTATGCCACATTGTGCTTGCATTGATGAGCAAAGCGGAACAAAATTGACGTGAAAAGAAGATAAAAACAAAGTTTCAAGTGGTTTACATATAATATATAATGTTTATAAAGGAAAGGTGGACGCTGTCTCAAAGAGACTGAGACGGGTTGGTAGCATTTGAAATGTAGTGAATTCAATTGAAAAAGAACCAACGAAGAAGTCCTACTAATAGTAAATAAAGAAAGGGAATTATTGAATGCTATTGAAAACAAAATAATAATAAAACAATAATATTTTCACACTTCTCACACACGGCCGTCTGATCCCAAACTAGGCAGAGTCTGTACTATGGTAACTAGACCGCTAATAAACACACTAATATATTTCTAAATACATACATATTATAGATAAATTACACCTAGACACAGAACTAGCGATCGTGCTTATGACATAATTATTTGTCCTGGGTGGGAATCGAACCCACGACCTCTAGCGTAGCAGTCAGGGTCACCACTAGACCAACAGACCAGTCCAACAGACAGACCATTAGCATAAGTAGGACTTTTTCGTTGGTTCTTTTTCTATTAATTGTTGGTTGGCCACTTGATATGACACGACCACATCTTTACAACAACACTGGAAGGGAAAAGTAAACGAGGAAACCTAGATCAATGTACATACAGCAAGTAAAGGAGAAAGTGGGAGTCAAACATATCGCAGAAAACAGAGACGCGGGGCGATTCCTCGACCGACAAGGGCCTAACCCTTACATTGAGAGAAAGAGAGTTATAATGTATATCTTTAACAACTTAACAGGCCTTTATCTATGTGAAAATTTGTGATTTTAACAATGGAATTAATTTAAAGTGGAATTACAGCATCCGAAACATATGCTGTACCGTAGACCTCTGGTTAGTTCTCGACATTGGGGACAACGGCGGGCACACAGACGGCCAATTATCAAATAAGCTACTTCCTTATAAGAACTCTCAGGTCCTCCTGAGTCATGAATGTCACTCATTGATATCAGTCTTCAAATAGCTTGGTATATTTTCATCTCAGGTTCAAATAATATAAAGTCAAATCAGTATATTTTGTATTAAATGTCAAATAACATTTATTTATTTTTATTTATTTATTAAAAACAATTACAGTGTCTTTACAGGATTTATCCTAAAACGATACTGTAAGTAAAAACAGTAAGTAACAGTTATTTATACATAAAAATCATTTGCTGTAATACATCTCTGGGCGACTTCTTTGAAGTTCGGCTGGCTACAGTTGTAGATATCTACTTGTATTGAAACATTTGACACAGTAACTTTTGTATGAAATACTAAAGTTGCTGCGCCACGTCACGTCACGCATAGTTATTGGGTAACCATTTATATTTAATGTTGATTTGAGGATATAAAAACACTAACATTAAATTGATAATGGAGGACAATTCAGACTGCACCTTAACCTTAATGTTACATTTAATGATTATTAAATGTAACATCCTAGGAATTTATCCCTTTGCAATAACTATATCGTTCCATAAATTACAACTCTAGGGGTGGCATTGTATGTCTTCAAATTTGAATGGGACCAAACGAGAGGCAAACCATCCTTTAAAAAATAAGAATATTCCAAACAGTTTCAAAAATGATAGAATTCTGAGGTTAATGTATAAAAAAAAATTACGGATGGAGAATTCTTATTTTTGAAGTCGGTTACAAATACAGAAATTTGATTAAAATTAAATTTCTGTATTTTTAACCGACTTTTATGTGTTATCGTATACAATAATATGCCTATTAAATCCCAATTTATCTCATTAACTGATTAATGGTATTATCATATCTAAAAAATTTACCTCGACTAATCCTGACTTACCTAAATATCCATCTAACAATATGGCGGCTTCTGTCAGTAGCAATGTATTGTTCATCTTAATGTGATCAAAGTACAATAATTTGTCATCACATTTGCCGTGGGACAGCCGTGCTTCGTCACATATGGACCGGCTCCACCGGAGTGATGCCACAGCCTTACAGAAAACCACTTTTAAGCAATTCTTCGGTTGCTTTTCAGCGAATGAACAAAAACTCTTGGATTTTGTGTAATTTTTTATCGTTCAATATTAAAAGTCACCAGATTCCTAATTTAAAGTAAACAGATCTAACACCACACCACACCACACCACATCCGTCACCACAGTCCGTGTGGTGACGGATTAAGAATACAAATTGTCACCACCCCAATTCATCCCGTGGGTATCGTAAGAGGCGACTAAGCAGGACAACAGCACTGCAAAGAGAAGGAAAACTTGAAACAAACCCTATACCAACGCGTCTGGCCAGCGTGGTATAGTAGGCCAAAACCTCCTTTCTAAGGAGAGGCCTATGTCCAGCAGTGGACTAGTATAGGCTGTTGATGTGATGTGATGTGTGATCTAACATTAGCTTGTGGCATTTACACATAAAATGACAAAGGCTGAGTCACACGTTGGGCGAGGCAAGACGGCGACGCGATGTAAGCGAATCGTAATTTACACAGCCTTTTACTTTGAATGATGTCACACAGAGCCGTTGTTTTTCTCTACACGCGGCCTAGAACATAACAACCTCTTACGGAAAGTCGCCGCTCCGTCTTGACCACTGTCTGTCTCAACCTTTAAAACTGAAGAGTTTTTTCTTTATTGTTTTATTTAATCAAACTATCTCTGAAACTACAATTCGGCTTTGAAAAGTAATAATAACATTTTATTGAAAGCCTTGTTACATTTTGTAATAATTGTACGATAATGGCTCCAGTAGTATAAACTGTGTCGTAACCATTACCACATCCGAATCTTACAGTACATATATTACAACAAAGGTTAGTCGTTTTACTATCTTGTGTAAATTGTGTTTGTGTGTATATTAAGTTTAACCGAGTGTGTATACGTCTAATGTGTGTAAGGGGTATGCGTTTTCATGTTTTATTTATGCATGTATGTTATAGACTAGAAAACATAAAATTATTGACCTTAGGAGCAAAGCAGTGACCATAAACTCTGTGGAACGGCTAGTTACCTATTAAATTACAATGTAACTGTATAAATAGCTTATTTATGACATACTAGCTTTTGGCTGCGTCTCCGCCCGCGTTTATATCGGGTTTTGCCGTGAAAAGTAGCCTATGTCCGTCTTCGACAATATGTCGACAATACGATAGTATCTCTATGCCAAATTTCATTAAACTCGATTCAGCGGTTTAGCCTTCAAAGCATAATAGACAGACAGAGTTTCTATCGCATTTGTTATATTATTAGGGCAGTATTGATTATTATATAACCTTGGAAATAAATCCCCAAGAGACAAGAGAGAAGTCATGTGAGATTATTTATATATCCTAATCTTATCTACTATCTAGCAATATCTGTTACTATTTGAATAATTTAATCCAGAGATTACGTTAAGTTACTTCAGGTGGCCAGTTGGAATCGCTATCCTCTGCAATCACAGGACCGACT